TGCATGGTTACAGAAAAATGTCTTGCAGGAGTCAGAGAAAACAGCATCACATTTGCAAAAAGTGCAAATGCAGGATACTGCACCCCAGTCCATACTATACACATAAGTGTCCCTTGTATCCAGTTTGTCGAGTTGTGTTAAATGTTGACATTAGCAACACAGCATTGTTGTTGGAAATGTTAATAATAATGCAGCAGCAGAGAGAAAACTCTGACCCACACAGCAATGAGAAACACGTTACAATCCTCTGTATAGGCTAAATAAATGCATGATGAGCAGAGAGTGTGTGGAGTGAACAAAATTTCTGTCTCCCTGTTCCACTTCAGATGTTCTTTGATGAGGCAGGATTGTCTTGTTTAATATCTGTCTAAAGGATCCCTGGTAGTGACTGAACGGTAAGGGGATCTCTCAGTTCCAGCAGGTGCATAGGGTTTTCCTGCAGGAAGATCAGACTGCCAAGGTCCCTGCCTTCAGCTACTGCCTGGCTCGCACTTCACCAGACCCCTTTGGCCTCTCCTATGGGTGGTGAGCCCATGGGAAGGGCGCTTGCCATCAAGCCCAACCCCAAGGCCCTGCTCCAGGGCAGGGGCCTGGTGACCCTCTTCTGGGCAAGTGAAACTTAGTACCAATTATTTTCATAGGAGATCTATTTGAGCTACCCTTAGTCTGATCCTTCTCCCAGGACCTGTTTGCCATGGGTAACCCTACCATAGGCATAAAGCCCCCGACAACATAGCTCCTGGGATCATTGGGACACTCAAACCCCTCCACCGCGGTAAGGTGGTAGCTTGAGGAGGGGAAAATGTATTTTTTTTGTTTGTTTGTTTGTTTGTTTTGTTGTTGTTGTTTTCTTTCTTTCTTTGTTTGTTTGTTAATCTAACCTGCATGTCTTTATATGGGAGGAAACCAGAGCAAAAACAGGTGAGGGAGGAGAGGAAAACTTGTTTCTTGTTTGTTTTGAGCCTAGGGTGCTCTGGTCCAGGTGAGACTAGACCTTTGGCTTTGGTTTGACACTGAGGACCTCAGACTTGTACCTCTCAGTGAGCTTCCTGGTAGCTGATTTATACCTTTCCAGTTTTTCTTGGAGAAGGTTTGTCTTATTCCTCTCCTCAAGTATCGTAGCTCTAAGTTGTCCAAGGCTCCCGTCATCTGTGGCTTGAAGCTCTGTTGTGCAGTTCTTCTGCAGGATGATGAGCTGATTGTTTAGCTTCTCCAGCTCTGCCATCAACATCTGCTCCTTCTGGGTTGCACTGTGCAGCAGGACCACCATCTCCCCTCTAATCTTCTGATAGATGGTGTTATGCTCTGCCTTTTAAGACTTGGGGCTCTATTTTCGTTCGCGCCGGTGAGGCGGCGGAGGGCGGCGAGCCCCGCGCAGTTGTATTTTCGTCTGGCGGAGCCCAGCGTAAGGCCAATTTGGTATTTTCTTGGCATGAGCCGCACGGAGGCGAGCTGAGATCCGCCAAGCTGGGCGTGGTGGTGTGGCAGGGGGAGGTGTCGACAGAATCAGCAGGCGCAGTGACATTTTCGTGCTCGCCACCGGCGTGTAAAGTGCGCTGAAAGCTCGCCGATTCAAACCTGGTCAGCTTTCAGCGCAAGGCGGAACGCAGCTGGTCCAGTAGTATTTTGGTAGACCGGCGGCGTATCGACATACGTCACTGATGCCTCACCGGCAGGTTTCCACAGTGTCAGGCACATTTCAGTGCAATAAATAATCATCATCAACTATTAATGTGAGTCAGCACATACATTTGGATCTATATAGATATATTCTGATCTATATCTGATCTGATGAGCGCGTTTGGCACGCGTTTGGACACACAACCTGACCGAATCAACACAGCTGAAACCGCATCAAATTAAATTAAATATCTAGTAAATATTCACACATGATGAAGTTAACTCGATATGTAATTCGTCTCTCTCCTTTTCTTTCTTCCTCTTCCTCTTATTTCTCGCACAGCTCGACCTGGACACGTCTCTGTGTCCTCTGTCCGTCTTGCTTGCTGCTGCGGCTGAACAGATGATTTGTTTCAGTGCTCAGATGCGTTATCTACTTTAAGCCGACATACGGATATTATAATATTCAGTTTTGTGAGCCAAATTTATTTTATATGCCAACATCTATGAAAGAAAGAGCCAGGCCACGGAGCGCGATGCGTCATTTACGCACAGATGGTTCCGATTTTTATGCCATTTTTGGAGTTTATGTTGTGATCTGTGCGCTCAACCGACCTTTGTCACGTGAGGTTTGAATATGAGCAACTTTATGTGAGTGTCTTTATTTGTGGAAAAGGGTGTTTGTCTTACCACTGGGTCCAACATTACGCACACTAAATCCATCTGTGCTCATATGAGAGAGTGTGGAGGACACTTGTTGAGGAGCTGCCCTCTGTCGCCATCTTGTGGCATTACTGTCTTAAGACATCTCTTGATCTCTTTGACTACTTCATGAAAATAGTAATACGCCTCGCCTGTGGCGGATTTAAAGGCAAGGAGAGGAGCCTATGTGATTGGTGAAAACAGGTCTCGGCTGTGTTAAACCCCTATACGCACTCTCTCCTCCCCTTCTATGATTTATGCTGCCGGGAGGAGCTGAGTTAGGGAGGGGGGATACTTACGCCGGGCTGCGCGGCTCACCAAAATACCAAAATGTGCTTGGGAACGCCTTGTCAGCGAGGCGGATCTGATTGACGCTGCGCTTGCGGCAGATCTCCGGCGAAGCACCAAAATAGAGCCCATGGTGACTAAATGGTCCCAAGATGTTTGGCCAAAGGGAGCCTGACTTTGGTTTTGGAGCTCATGCTGAAGGCTCTGCACTATATGTCCTGCGTGAGTCATATTTCGCTGGTGTTTCTGCGACTCCTCTGCCATCCCCTGAGGGAGAGCCTCATTTTGAGCTGTTAAGAATCTTTTAACAGCCTGATCTCAGGACTCTTTTTCACTATCACATAGGGGGGTAAGTATGAGTAACTAGGGTGAGTTTCATGGCCCTCTGACCTTTGTAGCCAGAGATAGACAGGGGTGCATTCTAAGGCAGGTAGCAAAAACAGCCTGCCTGAAAATGCACTCCCACCATAAATCCATATCTATTGGTCCCTGCATCACATGCTTTTTACAGAAAACAGGGGGGGACTAGTAGGAGTAATCAGGGTGAGTTTCATGCATCTATCCCCATCCTAGCCTAGACAGGAGGTGCATTCTCAGGCAGGTAGCAAAGACAGCCTGCCTGGAAATGCACCCCAACAATGAATCCATATATGTTGGTCCCTGCATCACATGCTTTTCACAGAATACAGAGGGGGCTAGTAGGATTAAGCAGGGCGAGTTTCATGGCCCTCTGACCTTCCTAGCCAGTGATAGACAGGGGCTGCATCTCTGATCAATGGCCTCAACAGCCTGCCATGAAATGTATTCTCCTAACATTCAACCTCAGCATCAGGCACATTTAATTGGATACTAGAGGTGCCAAACTTTGTGTATGTTCAAATTTGACACGTCTGAAAACTGAATTGTCATTGGTGGATATCTGATTCATTCATTTATTCATTCATCCATCCACTCATCAGCTTCTTAAAGTGGAAGAAAATGATCTTATATTTTAATAAAACATGAGTATTGGATCATGACAACATGTCAAATGGACCAACAAATATTATTTCTGTATTTATGTCTCTCAAAAATGCACACATATAAGTGTACTTGAGTATATAAACTGTACAGTAAGCTGTCATGGTAGAGCATTATATTATACATACAGCAAATATTCCGAAGCAGAGGGCTATTGTTTTTGGTCCATCTGAATAGCCTGAATGAAATCATTTAAGGCATACGCTTTTGAATCCATCCAGGATTGGATTATTTCACCTGGTTATGTACTTACAACCGGCTAAAAGAAGTGATTTCAGCTACTTGGGTCACTACAGCTGAGTTTACTTTTACTACAAAATGCGGTTTCAAGGAAGAAGAAAAGAATGGCGATGTGTTCATCATTATGAATCTTGTTCTTGTGATTTATTTCAAATGCACAAATATCTAAGGATAAGAATAAGAATAAGAAAAATAAGAACTTCATTGGTCCCTGAAGGGAAATTAAATTGTCTGTTGTCTCATATAATATGTCTATAAAAGTTATCTATTATTTTCATAAAAGTTATAAAGCCTGATGGCTGTTGGTACAAAAGATCTTCTAAATCTTTCTGTCCTGCAGCGAAGAGAGAGGAGCTGTCCACCACCAAGGTGTAGTGAAGTGGGTCTTCCATGTTCTTGAGAATAGTCTCCACCTTCCTCAATGTATATCTCTACCACATCCTCCAGTGAGTCCAGCTTGAGTCCTATCAGCCTTTTTCACCAGTTTGTTAAGACGTCTTGCATCTTTGAGACATCACCACAGCAGACTGCAGCGTAGAACAGAACACTTGCCACTACAGACTGATAAAACATCTGATGTCTATTGATTGGAGTCTTCTCAGGCAAAAGAGGCGGCGCTGCCCCTTTCTGTAGATGAAGTCTATATTCTTAGACCAATGCATCTTATTATACAGATGTACACCTATTATTTATATGATGTCACCACTTCGATATCCACTCCACAGGTGTTCACTGGCTGAAGAGGGGATTTGGATCTACGGAAGTCTATGACCTGTTTATCTGTTCCTTTCCCCAGCAGTCCCTTCACCAAAAAAGTAAGAAAAAAAAACAAAGTAGTTTTCTGCTTTATATTGTGGCTGTACTTTTTGAACTGAGTGAAGTAGGTGCACTCCCATCAGGGGATACTGTCAGGGGGTGCATTCTATGGCACAGCACCGGAAATCCTCATTCATCTCAGCACACTCGGCCGAGCACGGAGGGTTTAAAGATGTGGATCAGACCAACAGGCGATGGAGTTTTGGTGGTTTTGGACTGCTCTTTCTTTTTAAGAGTGGGGCAGACGGCGATGAGGTGTCTGGGTTCATGATAATAGAAACATTCTCTAGTTTCTGACGCAGTAGAGGGGTTACGGCGAACGCTTTTGGGAGATCTTACTCTCCCACTGGGAACTTGATCCCTCTGAATTGGGAGAGAGAAGACACTTCTATGCATCAAAGCAAATTCATCGGCCAGGACAGCAGCAGCATTAATGGACGAGACCTTTTGTTCATATAGACAGACTACAACCCTTTCTGGAAGGCGATTTTTAAATTCCTTCAGTAGGATGAGTTCACGGAGGTCATCCATAGTTTTAACTTTCCTGGCCTGGCACCACTGGTCAAAAAGCACACCTTTCTCTTTCGCAAACTCTACTTATGTCTGGGTGGAAGTCTCTTCACATTTTCTCAATCTTTGTCTATATGCTTCATGAGCATGGAGGATCATAGACTGTGTGGAGGATTAATGAGAATGGAGGACAGTGACTTTCACAATATCATAATTAAAGCTGTCTGCGATGGACAGAGAGGCGCAAACTTCTTGAGCTTTACCCACCAACTTACACTGAAGTGAAAGAGGCCACATGCTTTTAGGCCAGTTCAGAGTCTGCGCTCAAATGCATTAAAATAAGAATCTACCTCTGACTCTCTGAATGATGGGACTAGTGCAATGTGCTTACTCACATCGAAGCTATAACAAGCTCGGGGTTTAGGTGCATGTGATAGAGAGGCTTCAGGCCTGGCAGCTACAGGGGCTTCCCTCTCTAACTCCAGAGCCCTTAACCTCAAATGCATGGCTTCCCCCTCCAACTCCCTGTTTCTCACCTCCATCTCCCTTATGCGCAGAGTTAAAGTGAGGTCCTCTGACAGGGCTCTGTTTCTTTGGTGGGTGAGGCAGGCAGCGTCCCAATTACTCTCCTGCGGTATACTGGCGCTAAGCAAACTTTAAGTCTTGAAGGTGTCCTCCCATTTTTGGCCGATTCTTGTAGCGGTTCAGATGCTCTAGTGTGGGGAGTAAAAATGAGTGCCGTGCGTGCGCCTCTGCATTTGACTCGGCTGGCCTCCATAATCGCGACAGGTAATTTTCAAATTGCTGTGAGGTGTCAGCTCCCAGTAGCTGGCATTGATGTAATTCTTGGAAGTGATATGGCTGGCGGGAAAGTTTTCCTGTCCCCTGTAGTAACCGACAACCCGACCTCCACAATTGTGTCTCTCCACTTAACATCTGATAAGTCTGTGTCTTACCTTCTGGATGATGGTGTTTTATAAGCACATGGGTCTGCGCGCCAAATTGTAGTCCCGCAGCTTTTCCGATCACAGGTCCTAACTCTGGCCCATGACCACTGTCTGTCTAGACACTTGGGCATCAGAAAACGTATCCTCCATTATTTTTTCTGGCCCCGGTCTAAAGTGCGATGTGGTAAAATTCTGTCATGCCATACCTGCTAAGTTTCCAGTAAGCCGAACCAAAATATTCTTGCTGCTCCATTACATCCCATTCTGGTAGTTGGTGAGCCATTTGAGCATGTTATTGTTGACTGCATTGGCCCGTTACCAAAACCAAATTCTGGCCACCAGTATATCCTCACAGTGATGTGTGCTGCCACACGCTATCCAGAAGCCATCCCATTGCGCACATTAAAAGCCCATGGCATTGTGAAAGCACTTGTAAAGTTCTTTTCCACTTCCAAAACACATTCAAAGTGACCAAGGCTCAAACTTTATGTCCAGGATTTTTGCAAAGGCCATGTCAGAGCTAAATGTTAAACACCACACTTTCAGAAAAGTCAAGCCAGAAAGTCAAGGCGCATTGGAAAAATTTCACCAAACTCTGAAAAGCTTGCTGCATAAATTCTGCACTGAGTTGGCCCATAAGTGGGATGACGGGTTACCCCTGTTGTTGTTTGCTGTGAGGGAAACTGTACAGGAGTCCTTAGGGTTCAGTCCAGCCGATTTACTTTTTGGCCACAATGTGCACAGTCCTTTGCGCCTGTTGCGGGAGCAGTGGCTCTCCGGTAAATCCGGTTCCAAAGAAAACATTTTGGACTATGTCAGTTTGTTTCGGGAGAAATTACATCACGCATGTGAAATGGCACGGGAAAATTGTGACGTTTATTTGGATGATATAGTAGCCTATTCATCCACCTGGGTTGAACATCTCCTCACTGTCTGTGATATTTTCTGTCTGCATATGGCTTCCCTCACACTCAACTTGGCCAAATGTGAGTTTGGGAAGGCTGTTGTCACTTATCTGGGTAAGCAGGGGGGACAGTGTTGCGTCTGTCTCCGCCAAAGTGCAGGCCATTCTGCATTTCCCACCTCCCCAAACGTGCCGTGAACTCTGCCGTTTTTTGGGGGGACTTAGTGAGTCCTAATCGACCATTTGAGTGGTCAGAGGAATGTCAGTCTGCTTTTGAGGCTGCTAAAGCTCTCTTCTGCAGCGCTCCTGTGCTTGCTGCTCCCAACTTTCTCTGCCCGTTTAAGCTGGAAGTTGATGCCAGTGCGCATGGAGCAGGCGCGGTACTTCTGCAGGAGGATGACCGCGGCATTGACCACCCTGTTGCTTACTTCTCCAAAAAGTTCAATAAACACCAGCTGCACTACAATGCTATTAAGAAAGAGGCCCTGTCTTTGCTATTAGCTCTCCAACACTTCTCAGTTTATGTCAGTTCCAGTTCAGTGCCCACTGTCGTCTTCTCAGACCACAACCCGCTCGTGTTTCTGACTCGGATGCAGAATAGCAACCAGCGGCTGATGCGTTGGTCTCTGTTGCTTCAGGACTTTAACGTTGAACTTTGTTATGAAAGGGGTTTAAAAAATGTAATGGCGGATGCCTTGTCCCGTTCTGGTTAAAAATCTAATTTTCTGTAGGGGGATAATGTTTGATTTTGTTTGGGTGGGGAGTTGTTATGACTGTAGTTGGTTTCTCCTGTTTTTGGTTAGGAGTTAGGTTACCTGTTGTCTTTTGTTTTATATTTTTTTTACTACAGGAAAGTTAGGGTTCTTGGTTTAGCTGTTTTTGTTTGTTGTGTTGGCATTGCTCCCCTCCAAAGTCAATAAAAAATGCCTTTTATGTGAACTTTAACCTCATCGTTGGCTGGTCTTCCTGGGAGTGGGAAGAGCGGGGCACTCAATCATGTGCGGTCCTGGTTCCCCTAGGCCAGGGCCATAACAGTAACAGATTTCCCTCGCCAGACACCTTATTGTTGTCAAAAATCACATTTTGACGGCAATCGGGCAGTCTAATGAAACAACGCTGAGATTTCTAAGCATGTGCAAAAAAAAGCTGCATTTACAAACTGATATCAGTCATCTGAGGATTAAACTTACTCTCTCACATATTTTAACACTCTGAATGATCAAGTGGAGATGTAAAACATTATATGTTACTGTAAAAACACATAGGGTGTTTTTCTCCGAAACATGTAACCTCATTTTCTTTTAGAAAGTGAAATCATCTGTAATACTTAACATCCAGTAATTTCTACCACTGTCCTTCATCTATTACAGTTTTATTCCCCCTCTCATCTGTAACCACCATGTCTTATTCTCATCGACACACTCTCATCCACAATTCTCAACTCTTCATCCTAATCACCAGCTCTCAGCTTTGGTTTTAACCCTCCCAACGCTCTTATTGACCCCTCTTGTGTGGTGTCCACTCCACAGAGTCTGGACACCACACATACAACTTCTACAGTAGGAGCTATGCTATTTTATCTAAATTTTAACTTCAACAGACTAATGAAATATTTTAGATGATTGGGCGTCTTGCTGGGCTACGATTTACAAAAAATACACTTGGACTCCATTTGAGGGTGGTTCCCACTTTGCTCATAAAAAAAGAGAAAGAAGGAGAACAGCGGCGGGAAACAGAGAAACAAAGGCTGGGTAAACCTCATCAATAGGGGATTAAACATTTATTCAAATTTTAAGTGTTGACAGATGTCGTTTTTTTGTGCCTTTATCTCTTCAAACTTAATGGATTTCTTGGGGTATTCAGTGTTCAGCAACCCCTGCACTGACAAGTTTAGTCTTTGATCAAGACTAAACTTGATATAGAGATTTGAGCAAAAAAAAAAGGAAATTAAATTATCTAATATGTTTTTACAGCAATTAAAGTTAGTTGCTCATAACAGCCACTACAGGCCAAAAAGGGGTAAAAATAAATAATTAAATAACCCAGATGTTGTGCAAAAATCGAAATGCATCAAAGTTGATGTTGCTACTTATATTTGACATATCCAAGGGTGTGATATCACAAAAAATTTCCAGCCTCTGATCACTTTTTATATTGAAATTTGGTTATTATGTGTGATTTTTTCTTTCTAACAAATCAGTGACATCACCTATAACTTTTGGCATTTAAATGGATACATTTTTTTTTTTTTAATTTGTTCATTTTTTTTTAATCTGGACTAAGTTTGACAAAGAGATTTGAGCAATATATATATATATATATATATATATATATATATATATATATATATATATATATATATGATATGTTTTTACAGCAGCTAAAGTTAGTTGTTTACAACAGCCACTTTAGGCAAAAAAACGGGTAATTTTTTTTTTTTTTTGCTGTGCTGTGCTACTGAGCTGTGCAAAAAATAAAAATGCATCAAAGTTAATGTTGTTACTTATATTTGACATATCCAAGGGTGTGATAGCACATAAAAAATCTCCAGCCTCTTATCACTTTTTATCTTAAAAACGTGTCATGTAATTTGATTTTTACCCAGATCAGTGACATCACCTCTGAATCTGGCATTTAAAGGGTTAAAATTTATAATGAAATAATAGTAATAATAATAATAATAATAATAATAATAATAACAAATGTCATGATAAAGACTGAGTTTGATGAAAATATTTGAGCAAAAATGTTTTGAAAAAAAAAAAAAAAGGATTAATCTGGTATGTTTTTACAGCAGCTAGAATAGAATAGAATATTCCTTTATTGATCCCCCATAGAGGAAATTTGGGGGAGTGTACCCCAACAAAGTGGGGAATTTTGCAGCCTACTGGCTAAAAACGCCACAAGGTAACACAAGGGTTAATATAATTTATAATTTTCATTCAAACTAATGCATTTTAACATATTTTTACCACTTGAAGGGATACTCCGGCCAAAAATTTGTGAGGCATATAAGGTTTAAGCATTTGTGTTGTAATGCCAATATTGATCAGCAGATGTCAGCAAACTATAAATAATTAAAATGAAGCTAATTTACCAGCTGCAGTGATATATTTAGAGATGTAATGAAAATGTTCCTAATTAGTCAAAATGCCTGCAGATTTCTAAAAGAAAAAAAAAATTCCAATAGATTTAAAAAAAAAATCTCTTCATTTCAGGAGTCTGGTATAATCATCCCTTTAGTTCATAAAAAATGCAGCATTTAGAATTAATGCAGCAATTATGAGAAAATTTTGATTACCATCAAGGGGAATGTGATACTCTTCCTTAATTGAAATCATATATATCCTAACTTTTTGTGTTAAATTTCCTCTTCTTTTCGATTAAATGACATAATTACTCTTCTTACCTCTGATTGGTACAGAAAAAAGTGACCAGTGGACACAGGCCTTAAATCTATGTTTTAAGCGTTACCATACATGGGTTCTCAAGTTGTAGGTTGGTAAATGAAATGTTTCAAAAATATTAAAAATAAAGTACATTAACAAAAACATTCTATAGTATGTTTCAATAAATTTATCATTATTTTGAGCAGTACCTCCATTATTTTTCAGAAGCTCTGCGGTGCTGTTAGCACATCCCTAACCCTAACCCTTTGTAGACATATTTCAATCAGGAGAGTAATCAAACATAATGTTTTTACGCAAAGACAATGATAAAGACTTAAAAACTCTTAATAAACTAAAAACTGGTTCTTCAAAATGAAAACTTAAGCTTCAGACTGGCCCACCTGAACACAGTAGTGATATAAACCGGAGTTATTTCGTTATCAAACTGGTGTAAATGGGTTACCACAGTATTTCAACCCAAATCCATCAAAGAAGTGAGTCATATCATTTAGTTTTTGAGGTCTGTGAAGTTTTTACAATTTACTGCAAAACTCCAGACTCTGAATGGCAAGATGAATATTTTGGAATATGGGGGCGCTGTTTTGGGATCTTCACATTTACAGACGGAAACCACTTTAACTCAGACCTCAGGATACATCCAGAAACTTTAGTTAGTCGGTCCTGCAGCTGTGGATGACTGCGCTTCTCGGTATGTCCCATTGAGGGGCAGGAGTTTAGAGTTATCAGAGAGGTCTTGCTCCATGCTTCCTTGAGGACTTGCAGTGTCCGGGATTTTAACACACTGCCCCACTTCTCTCTCTCTCTCTCTCTCTCTCTCTCTCTCTCTCTCTCTCTCTCTCTCTCTCTCTCTCTCTCTCTCTCTCTCAGGGCACAGATCTGCCTCTCCGTTAGTGTGTGAGAGGAGCAGCTGGCGGTCTCTGCTCTGCTCTGCTCGGCTCTCTGCTCGCAATGGCGCTGCGGGCTGCCCACCTCCTCTCTCCGTGTGTCCTCGCAGCGGCTTTGTTAGTGCTCTGCTGCGGACCACATCTTGTTTTAAGTTGTCCGAGTCGCTGTTTATGTTTCCGAACCACTGTGAGATGTATGCATCTAAATCTGGAAACCGTACCAGCAGTTTCTCCACAGACTACCATCCTGTAAGTAACTTTTTTCTTCAGTCTAACGGGAACCGAGCCTGCAGGCACACTGCACGGGAATGCAATGAATGCTCCAAAACCCTGTGCAGCTCTTCTCCACATTTGAGGCCTTAAGTTGTGCTGCCAGCTAGAGTCTGAGCTCATTTAGCATGGAAATAAACAAAGTTTTGCATCTCAAATAACGTCATTAAGGTTGAAATCTTCACATTAACTTGTGGAAATTTGAGTTCCAGTGTTAGTGCACAGGCTGTTTTGCAATCACTCAGGAAGTTTTCACAAAGTTCTGACACCTGCTAGTGAGTTCAGCTGTTGGCTTTAGAGGTTAATGAAAAGGGTTTTTAGGGTCACACAGCTGGTTAAGTCAGCCCCAAGCAATGTGGAGGGTTAGACTCTTAAACGGAGTATCCTGCATGAGTTTGCATGAGAGGAATCCCAGTAAGTGTTAACATCTCCTGCACAGTATTGGAAACTTTTATCACTTCAACTAAATCACAAAGTCTGACTGTATGCAGGAAAAATCACCGCCCTGTCCTGCAGATTTGCTGGGTGTGTTAGCCTGTTGTTGGTGAAAGTGAACCAAAATCTCTGAGCAAGATGCTTGATAGCATGCATTTTAAATTGATCCTAACATTTGAAAAAAAAAAAAAAATAATGTGTTGCAGTGGTTTCATTCACGTGAAGGCAACTTTTGATGTTTCATCAATGATTTTAAAGTGTCCTGATAATGTGTCTATTATCAAAAGCACCATAACCTGCTCTCAGAGGTCTGGAAAAGCACTTACCCTGTTTGGAGAGACCTGACTGCTATACAGCACTTTGGTTTTAGGCCTAATCCTGCCTGGTGTTGACCTTGTTGATATGTTTGAGATTTCAAAAGAAAAGTTATTATTTACAGACAGTGAACTTGATCATCACAGCATCCAGGCGTCTGATTTGCTGTCTGAAGTTGTCTCCTTTCTTTATCAGCTCTTTATGTCCACGTTCAGCACCAACAAGATTCAATCAAAAATGGGATGCTCCGATATCTTGGTTTCCTTTTTTATCTGTATTTTTTCTGTTAAAACCCCCCCGAAAACTACCATGCCATTTAACCATTTAATTTATTACTTTCTGAGTTTACACATAGTGACTTAAATGGGGAAAAAATCTAATACAGTTATACCCAGATGATCAGAAACCTGGTTGTTTTATCACCATGTTAACAAGGTTATAAAAACTGGTTTGTAAACACACGGGCGAATGCAGAGGGTCTGATTAGAAAGCAGGATGTGTTAATAGCAAGGTAAAGAAATGGTTAAATCTAGGTGTTCATAACAACAAAGACAGTATATTGTTTACTTTGGTGCATTGCCATGTTCGTCATACTGCTGCACAATTAACCTGCTGCTCTGGAGCATGTGCACTTAAGATGGAGCTGTGGATTAATACAATTTGGAGCAGCAGTCATGACGTGCTTATCTTCATATTTGTCTGGTATTATAATTTGTAAAATGTGCTGCTCTGCTGCTACTTCCCTGTTCAACTTTGGTAATATGCAACAAACCCCCCCCCTTCTGTAAATGCACTCATAGCTGCTGTTGTCATACTAAGGTGATAACCAGTGTTCAGTGAAGCTTAATTTTTTCAAACTTTTTTTAGAGACTTTTTTGGCTTTTTTTAGGTGTTTTAACCTTAGAGACAAGGGGGCAGCACATGGTTGGGGCCGGACTAGAGCCCGCAACCGCTGCAGGGACCATGGTCCCCGTACATGGGGCACACTAACCTGCTCGTCCATCTGCACACCCCGTTTTTGGCCTTTATTTTGACAGGATAGGACAGCGGATAGAGCAGAAACAAGGACAGTGGTGCAGTACACCCTTACTTTGAATGACACAGAAATATTATGGCGGGTCCAAGTGGCCCCATCTTTGTGCCAGCATCTGAGATAGTAACAGAGGTGTTTGAAAGGAAAGACCAGATCAGCATTAAATGGCAGAGCAGGCAGGGTGGAACAGCAGTGTGTGTGTGTGTGTGTGTGTGTGTGTGTGTGTGTGTGTGTGTGTGTGTGTGTGTGTGTGTGTGTGTGTGTGTGTGTGTGTGTAGTTAGGTCTGTAATCAACCAAGAATCTTGGTCGAATGAAACTGAAAACCTGATGATTTTTTTTTTTTTTTTGATAACTTTCTTTATTGGAAGCAAGTTCACAGTAGCGAGATAGTACAATATGGTAAGACGGACTTCCAGTCGGTCATTTTCCCCCGTTTTTTTTTCATCCCTCACACATTCCCACCCCTTTCAAAGAGGACAATAGTTCATGTAGAAGATAATAATTAAAAATAATTAAGTAGACAGGCTAATGAAATACATAATGTTTACACACCCTTGTAAAAGGGAAAAAAAAAATAATAATAATAATAATAATGAAATAAAATAAGATTAAAAAAATGAAAAAAGTAAATAAAATAAACTAAAAAAAAAAAAAAAAGTAAATAAAATAAGGGGAAGGGGGGCTCAATCAGGCAGAGATGTCAAAGATTCAGTATGATTCAGGAGCGGTCTCCAAGTTTTTTCAAAATGTCCTAAGGAACCTTTGAGGGAGAATCTGAGCTTTACAAGTTTAATGGACAATAACACCTCTTTCACCCACCTGTTGTGAGATGGAGGTTGAGGGAGCTTCCAATTAAAAAGTATGAGTCGCCTGGCCAATAGGGTGGTAAAGGCAAGAACAGTTTGCATGGTTTTAGAGGCAAGAGGCTGCAAGGGGGAACCAAAAAGGGCCAAAAGAGGATCAGGAGAAATAAAAGTGTTATACGCTCTGCTTAGAGTGACGAAGATTTCATACCAAAAATGTGGCGAGTCTGGGGCAAGACCAGAGCATATTGGAATGAAACCCTGAAATTTTTGACCAAAAATGGACTAATCAGGGGATATTTTTCAGACTGATGGCAAACCCTTCTGTGGTGGGGGACGATGCAGCTCAGCGGAGTGCAGCTCGGCAGGGTGAAAATATACTGATATCAGCACAAGAAGGCAAATAAACACAAATATTATATTCAGCAAACCACTGGACGTTGATTTACGTGGACACTCTTCAATCTTCCTGTCTCCAGCCGGTCTCTGGTGGATTGGGCAAATCCAAAATGGTGAAAACAAGGGGGGTGTTCTGAGACAGGTTGTTACCTGTGAAACGCGTAGTGTGGAGACTGTAAATTGACGCGGAAAAAAATCGAGTCGGCCAATCAGAATTTTGGTCCACTCAGCATGTATCGACCAAGAAGTTGACCAGTCGACTAGGACTGTAGAGCCCTAGTGTGTGTGTGTTCTGTGTGTGTCAGTACTTTCGCCATCAAGCATACTTTAGTCAATGTCTCATGTCTCAGCAGTGCGGTAACATAATTGAAAATCTCTCACTGGGACACCAATATTACCTGTTGTAGGATAAGTATGAAGACAGATTGATGGTGCAGCTTCATTACGGCCCTGTTTTGGACTCTCAATATGAAAACGGCTTATGAGGATATTACAGTGAGGAAAACAGGTAGGAGAGGGAGCCATGTTTTAAATCATGCCTTTTTGAGTGTGAGTGACTTCTGCCTGCCAGAACTATGATGACTGTTGGTAAGAGGTTATGTCAAAGTTGCATTGTGATTGGTCCAACCTGTTTCTATTAAAAACCTCATATGAAGATCTGATTGTATCCAAACTGCAATAAAAAAAATCAAGTCTTTGTCAGGCATGTGCCAAAACAAAAAGATTAAGGTGACTGCAGTGTGAATTTAGTCATAAGAGTGTGCTGTGAAGCTATCTCTGAAGGTATCCGTGTCTTTGGAAGTGTTTTGTTGCACATGTTTAACACCATGTTTGACTTTCCCTCTGAGATAAAAGGAAGGAAATACCTCTTTCTTGACAAGCACTTGTGAATGTGTCCTGGTTGTCAGCAATCACACAACTAAACCATTTCCTTCTCATGCAGCTTGCTGCACTTTCTCACAGCCACAATGAAAGAACACAGAGCTCCAGATCCATCCCATCTCCAAAATATGCAGCCAGCACCCTTTGCCTGTAATTGGTCAGTGTGGTCTTGTTGTGCATTTCATTCCATAATGCATGGACCTATAAATAGCTCCATTCAGCCTGTAAGCAAAGGGGACAAAGGGGCAACTCAGCCAGCCTGAACCGCAGCAGCACACTCAGAATTAGTCGCTACCAGACTAGGTCAGCTTGGAAGCGAGCCCGTGGTGCCCCCTGTCCTGTTACTCCCAGAGGAAACATGAAAGTCCAGGCATCAGCACAGCAATGAAAGGCTTGTGTAGGACTCTGTAGGATGTGTCTAAATCTGTTCAATGGCGATCAGAGCGGAGCACGCTGTGGTTTCCCACACGCTTTCATGCTGGCGAGCTTTGAAGCTGCAGCCACTTGTCGCTTTCCCCCCTCACTGGCCTGTCTTGTCAGGACTTGAATACAGGTTCCACCCTCATCCTGCTGTATAAAATGTTCAGCCCATTGCAAGTCTGCTATATAGGTCATGGAAGTTTGCTCCCTACTGACCTGAGGCTCACCGGGGCCTCGGGAGTGTTGAGGAGTGTCTTAATGTGAAGAGGACTTTTGTCCGCAGTCTGTGGTCTCCTTTCTGTGGTTGATCAAATTAAGCCTCATAACATGGCAGCAAAGAGGACTGAAACATGTCTTTCAACAGTTGAGAAGTATGCAGCCTCTAATTTAAAGCTTTAATGTAGCAGCAAAGGTTCTTTGGGTTCAAACTGTTCTGAACATCCTGAGAGCTTTGCAGGATTAAGTAACCGTAGGTGAGGACTTTGTGTGAGCAGACACTTAACCTGCAGCTATGCGCTGTATAAGAAGGCGCTGCATTCCACTTCCCTGGCGGTGTGCCAGCTGAAGGAATTTAAACAATAATAACAAACGTGTGTGAGATGATCTGCCTTTGGGCAGGCCGACCATACCTGATGGTGAAAGGTAAAGAGCATCTCTTGTTCCTTCAAAACACTCTTGAACATAGACTATTTTGACTGACACGTTCATTATTTCCATTTATTTATGTGTGTCACAGCTCCTTTTAGCCATATGATCCTACAGTCAGCTCAGTTTAATTTGGTTGTATACATTATTCATTTAAAAAAGACTAGGATAAGTCACATAACCATGGCTTTGGTAGAAGTGCAACCTAACTTCAGGAAAGTAGAGCATGACATGAGGGGTTGCCTATTCTTTGTATTCATGCTCTCCTGAACAATAACTATATCAGGCTACTTCAGTCTAATTATATATCCATAAGATATAGACTCATATTTTTATCATATTCATCAGTTCATGGCTGACGGATCGACTTTTACAGTGAGCTACTGTCTGGGAGTTTTAAGTCACAGTATCATTATTGAGCATAATTGTTTCATCTAATGATAGAAAATTAGGGAGAGAGTTTAAGCCAGCAGCAATCTGACATGCTGTACATACAACTTGAAGTCCTACAAACCAGTTAGAAAAATTTAGAGGCTAATTCATCTTCATCTTCAGGTATAAACTTGATGACGGCTGAACACTGACAGCCTATTTGAAGACTTAAAGTTTCCAGCCTGTCATGATTGTGTCTAATGATGGATGAGTGGTCGGACTTATCATAGTTTATAAAGACATTTCCCTCTTTAAACTGATGAGGTGATCAGGAACAGTCAAGCTGAGGAGAACAGATCATACCAAACACTGTCCAGATAAGGAAGGTGTTAATCTGACAAGTTTTTATTATTTTTTGTATTTATGTTTGTCTTCAACTTCTCCAAACATCTCTTTCTGTTTACTCTGGGCCACCATAAGAGAGAAAAATTATTCGTGTAAACACAGCATTTGTGCCACTTTATCTACACTGACACTCTAAGAAACATGATTTTTTTTCATGTTGTACTGTCCTATATTTGTTTTTCAGCTGTTCTCTCAAAGGACCCTTGGTCTGGGGCATGGGGGTAGTTTACATTTCCTCTCTGTAATGACTCCGCTGTATGTCTTCTCAGGGGTTTGTTGGAGTTGGAGACATGATTTACTTTGCATTAGTACTGTTGTCCCATCATCAGATATAAACTGCTGATTTTGTAGTTGGCAGTTTGAGAAAAAAAACCTGTATATTTTTGTGTAAGATGACATATCAAAGCATGTGAGTGTCACTAAGGATTTTCACTTCACAGGGCAGCAGCAGCAGCAGCAGCAGCGTAATGTTTAATGTTTGGACACACAGGTCTGCTGTATTTTGTTTTGTAGCTGTACTTGTCTATGAAACACTAATAGTGGTATGGTATTTTATAACATTGGTTTTTTATGGTGTTGAGGGTATCTTGGATGTTGCACCTGCAGAATACTGCTGCAATATGAACCACAATGGCTGCAGGGCAATAGCCAATAACCCTCTTCATACTGTCAAAGTGTGATATTTACTCCTCTGTAACCCTTTACCTCCACCTGTGCTGGATAAGGTAGTAACAGAGGTGTGACGAGATCACTATAAACCATCATAGCAGGCAGGGTCGAACAGCACTGTGTGCGCATACATTTCTCAGTCCCCAATAAGTATAAGACAGCATAACGGAAAGGGCACTTGCAGAGAGAAACTGTATGACGGAGTAACAGCAGAGTACCCCAGAACTTCAAACATGCATCCAAAGTGTAGGAGCTTCAAGAAAAATGTAAGGGCAAATTAAGAAACACAACAGAAACAGTATAGTGCTAAGAGTGTTAAATGCAACCTCAGTCCTGCAGCTTTCACAGTGAAAACAGTGCAGTGCATCATTTTTTCAGCAGAACCATTCAAAGTGTTTCAGCTGCTCTCTCTGTGAGAACTGTGAGCTGTTTTTGCTGCTTAGGCATCCACCTTTAAGACATCACAAGCATCATCACCACCTGTTATTTCCCCAAACTTCAGACAGCCTACAAAAGAAATCCAATTTTAATTTTACCCTTCAGCTCCTCCAACTTTGCTCAAGTATGATCTCTGCTATGTGATATTGAAGTACAGTGCAAAAGAGTGATTAAAGGCTGATATTAATCAATAAAAAATAAAAAATCAACATTGAAAGGATGAGTTAGTGATGGACTGATTGAAGCGGTGTCAAATAATGCCTGCTGGGAAGTATGTCACTCTTAGCTGTTGTGACACTGCATCTGCATAAATAATCAAGTATTGGTCACTTTATAAGCAAATGTTTTATCGCCCAATTGACAGTTTGCACCAGAAAGCAAGTTTTGATTCACACAAATGCTCCAAAAAGTTATAAGGCCACAGCGATTGAATTTCAGGAGCAATTTCAAGCCCTGACCAAGAGCTGCTACCTGAGACTCCTTCTAATTCAGCACATGGTTGGTTCAGCACGAAGCGGACCTGGAGCAACTCCCCTATTCCTTTAGTCTACCAAAACATGATAGAATGTCTACTACGGAAAAGCATATTGACCATGTTTGATATTGATATTGGGGGAAATTATTTTTCGATATATATCGTTATCATTTTATCGCCCAGCCTTAGTCATACTTTCATGTCACACAAACAGAGTAATTTCTAGATGCAGCTGCAGATAAGCAAATTCCCATTAGGGAGATAAAATTGCTGTTTTTTTCTCACTTGCTGTAAGTCTGCTAAAGTTACTGGTTATAAACAATGACCTTGCCTTCAAAGAAAGTTTGTTTCTGTTGTGATCCTTCTGTGATTCCCTTAAACAATATTAATGACAAGAAAAGCACTGTTAGAGGATTGATAAAAATCAGGGTCATTTTTCCAGAAGGATTTCTTCACAGCCATCACAGCATGTGTGTCAGCTACAGGCTCATGCAGTCGACTGGAGCAGTTACAAAACATTTAAACCTGTTAGCCATTTAAGCTCCAAGACAAGAAAAAAAATGGGCTCTGTTCTTAACCAATGTCTATATGAACAGCCACTGAAAATGTTGTACTTCACAGAGGATTTCAGAAACCTGAATCGTAACTATTGTACAGTCTGTCGCTCCAGTAACTTGTTTTGTTGGCTGAATTGTCATGTTGTTTTGCAGTAAGTGTCCTGGTCATGTGAGGCAGTGGCTAACCAACACTAAACTCTGTATAGGGAACTACCTGGCTGTGAGCAAGCATCTATTGTTTTCTGTTAAAGTGTCCTCATGTCCCCCTCACCCTCCTCACTGCCCCAAAAACAGTGTCCTGCTCTGACTGAGTGACGTTGCTGGTGAGTCAGGGAGGGAAAGTGGAGGTCTATTGTGTGGAATTTGCTGCAGTCAGGCTTTGTGAGGCGCTCAGTCTCTGCAGCATTATGGAATGCAAAGCCAGAAATCCCCAAAGCTTTGCTCATTTGCACAGGGCCATAGAGACCAAGATAGCTGCTGAGAGGGACTGTGGCCTTCTCATGTGGTCATCCTTCACAGGACAGCTGCTCAACACTGGGGCAAGTTGCTTCTATTGTAATTCTTGTTAATGTGACCTTAATAAACACTTTATTTTAATCATCCCATTGGTTATAGGATGCATGTTAAAGCCTGTGTTGCAAGAATAACTGTACAGCCAATTTGATGGAATGCATTCTCTTGTCGTAGGTTATTTTTCAAATTTATGCAGTTATTTCATTTCAAGCTTGGAGCAGGCCAGTGCAATTTTACACAGAAAAACAAACAAAAGATGGCAAATTTATAGAAACGTGTTCTGCAGCTTCACTACCCTGTGGTATAGATCAAACTTACCCTCTGTGATTTGACCTCACTGAGACAGAAAACTAGTGACCACCAGTACACTAGCTGCTCTGTGTTGTAAAATACTTTAAACCTGTACTGTGCATGTTCAGATTGAAATGATAAAAGATCTGAAGTTTTATCCAGCAAGGAGAGTTGTCTCAAACTGTGTCTTTGCTCTCACATTATTATCCCATGGAGTAGATGTATGGCTCTCTGTAACAACCACTTCCTCCACTAATAATTAATGGGCTTCCTCATAATATCTATGAAAAACATTCCTAACCACAGACTGTGTACATACTATCCATCTCATTTTGACATTTTGCTCTTCTGATGGATTCCTGAGAATACCTCCATGCTAAGCAGCAAAATGAGCCCTCTGACTCTGTGCCCATTATGATTCAACATCCAGCATAGCCCCTATAATTCTCCACCTTTAAAGGGATATTGTGGTGTAAATTTAGGTTATGGTCGAACACAACATAACACAAAGTTGGACACCCCCTCTCAAGAGATGAATGTTGCCGACAACTTGGATGCTAGTACTGTGGTAGGGAACCTATATGTTGATTAATTTAGGTGCTGTTCTGAGCATATTTTGTGACTACAGAGTGGCTTTTTGGTTGAGGTTTGCACATAGAGACGTAGACCGCTGTGTATTGCTATCGTGCGATCGTTACTAAAGTCGGTAAAACTAGAGAAGCAAGCGGTCAGCAACATTTTATCTCTCGAGGTGGTGTCTAACTCTGTGTTATGGTGTGTTTGACTGTAACTTAAATTTAAGCAAGAATAGCCCTTTCATGAACCCCACACAAAGATCATTCTGTGGATTTACTAACTGTTTCATGTTGTAGAAACACATGGAAACTCCATCTCCTGGATGGAAGTCCTGCATGTTTCATATACAAACCATTCACAAATCTGATTGTTACTCTGACTTTTACAGCCTTTGCTACATCATTCAGAAAATGTATCCTGCATGTCTAGCTTTTGCACAGATGACTGCAGAATTCAAGTTAGTTAGAAGCCTTGTGTGCCTCATTCAGACACTAATGGGTACCTTGTGGACTTGTATAGGACGCCAAGGGCCATGTGGAAGTGATGGTAATGGATGATTTAAGAATGACAATGTAATTCATTTTAATTTGCGATAAGCAGGCATTGCTGTCTACAAAGAGATCTGCTGTAATTATAATATATGACTAGAGCCCCCTTGATAGTTGTTGTCCTGTGCAAGTAGTACACACACAATACTCTGAGATAGATGTAAACAGCAGAAACTCAGCATTAATGAAGAGTAGTACAATAAAACCATTGTATATCTTTGGACACTTTGGTCCTTAAAAAGTTAAAACTATCAAAGCAAAGTCCAAGTATTGAAATGTTTTTAGCTTTAAAACATTTCCTATCAGCTAGTGTGTGTGGCCTTTTCTCTGTTAAGCTGGTATGTTTTATTTTGGGACATTTCAAGTCAAAGGTCATCATCACTTCCGGTCATTGTTACTCAACTACTGTATGAACCTCTTCAGGGTATCCTAGGACAGCTTTCTTTTCGAGTAAGACTTCTCTTTACTCCCAAGCATTATACATTTTTATAAGTGTCCCTGCTGTATACAGGGCTTTCTTGTTTTGAATGCAGTCCATTCCTTCAGTTCACCAGCACTCCCTCAACGAGAATCAGATCCTTGTCATTTTCCACAGGATGTGTATAACAAAGAACCATTGCAGCCATGTTTGAAGGGACTGACTTACTGTTCCTCCAACCAAGTGAGAGCCTGGTTCTTGTTTAACTGAGAATGAGTCACCCGTGTGTCCGGGAGTCCTCAGCAAACTCACGTGGGCATGTGTCACAGAGCCAAACGACTCCCCTGCCCTGCTGAGAGGGGGAGAGATCTGCAGCACAGGTCCACACATGGCACTCAGATGCTGGTTGGTCTGGGAAGCAGCCAGGTTAGCTCATCCTCCTGGATCAGACAAGAATGTACAGGATTGACTTCGAAAAACTCTTTTTTGCACTTTTAGTCTGCGTCATATATAGACAAAACTGCTCAGACTAGTCAGGACTATAGACTGCAGCTGTTGGCAGTGACGTCAGTTCAGCAGTATGGTTGTGTACAAAATGACAAAGAGACCCCTGGGGCCTGTCCTATAAATCAGGATTTTCAGATAGTGAGGTAACATCCGGGTTGATTATAGGTTTTGCATTCTACAAAAATATTCTCACCATATTGTGGTAGGTTACTAAGGTAATTTATGAGACTGATTAGAAGAAAACATGTCCAAATAACCAATCAGTTCTCTCGATCTTGGAGCTTTCCCCCCTTCTGATTGTTTTATTAGCTTCATCAGTGTATTTATGGCTATAGCTGGGCTGTCTGACATTGTTTCATCTTAATTTGAATAATTGATAAGAAGAGAAACAGATGACGATTGCTAATCACTGAGGTGAATTCATGTGAGGGCAGTCCCCTCTGAGGTGCTGGGATGTGAGAGTCTGGTATGTTTTCTGTTTGGGAGCGGAAGAACTCTGTCCCTAAATCACCTCATTGCACTCACTGGACCTCCATTTCTCTCTCACACTGTGTGCCATAAAGACTGCAGGGAGATTGTCGGCATTGTCAAGCCTAAATAGGTCAGTGTAATTATCTTTTGAGAAATAGAAGGCTGAGGTTTAGTGCCAGATAGCTAATGTACAAACAAAAGAGCCTGTTGGTCGAAACATGCAGTCAGAATGTCTTTTCTTTTTCACCGGTCAACTTCTCTGTTAGCTGGCTTTTTCCTATCAGTGTGACACATGAGGTTATCAGCCTACCATCCTGTGTGGGTCAATGACAAATGTCTTTTTTCACAAAAAGAAATCAAATGATCTTTTGTTCTTTTCTCATTGTATTAATGCTATTGTTGTCAAATTCCCATGGCTGCTTCATTACTGACAAAGGAGGCTGCTCACTTTGAGGCTTTTTGTTTAGACAGAATCCAGAATAGTCTGTCAGCTCCTCTGCTGGCTTAAAAGCCCTGCTGCTTTATTGTTCCCTCTGGATCAGCGCCATCTAAACACATTAATAGATGTTAACAAACTCCTAAATAAGTGCAGAGACAAATATCACACATATAGTGCAGTGTTTCTCTGTTGTACTTTCCCAGCTGGCACTATTTGCTAAATGAACAACTAGCTAAAGAATGTGTCACAGACGCCCTGTTTACCAAATATCCCCCATACTTCTTCCTGCGTTTCTTCTCTTAGACTGTAGAGTGACTAATTTTCCTCCACTGTTTTCTTTGCTTATCGTCAGTAAACCATCACAAAGAACCCATCCAGACAATCTGGCAAATAAGGTTATTATTTCCTTTTAAATCTACTGAAATTATTGTGCTTGCAAGGAGACAAACACATTGGATCAAAACAGAATCCAGAACCCATCAGTGATCATCTGACAACAATTTAGCTTTTTATTGGTCTGTGTAAACACGTATCTGTTTATGGATGTAGATGACAGCTTTAAAATCTAAAACATGCCAATAAAAAGCACAACACATGTCACAGTTATATCTTTACAGCCGGTGTCAGAATATTTAGTTTAAATGTGTATAAATTACACTATTTTGTCTAAAACTAAAACACAAATTATCATAAACTACCTTCATTTTGGAGATATTGGATCCAGGCAGTGTGACAAAATATACTGGTTTTGTTTTTGGTAATCAAAAGCACCTGGATCTACCTAGGAAGCTGTAGGTCTCACTAACCAAGTAGATTTTACAGTGAGTTGACAAGGACTATTGCATTTTTTGGAGCTGATCCTGTAAGAGTATCAGTATTTAGTTGTGTACCACAGTGTATTGGAACGTCTTTTGTTTGCCATGATCACCCCAATGGTTTTTGACCACACTGACTACCGTTCAGGATGCGTCATGCCATTGTGTTGCAAGGCCAGTGGAAGTAGGCACTGATAAGGGAACCATTAACCATGAATCCAGATGATGTCAATGGCTCAAACAAGAGAGAAGTGGGTCTGATATGGAATAGGTTGGTGATTCCCGTTCCTGTTGACAAATGCCACAGCTTACAATCATTGCACTTAAGGGTGGCTGTGGCCCATCAATAGAGTCAGCTGTCTCAGCCAGAAGGTTTGTGGTACAGGTCCAGTTCCTGCAGTGTCATATGAAGTAGGGCTGCACGACTAATCGATTTTAAATGGTAATCGGATGATTTGATAATGACAATGTTCGAAAAATTAAAATCGTCAAATTGATTTTCCTCTCCATCATGTCTCATGCCTCCAGGCCACTGTAGGCTCCCCCTTCCTGCGAGAGCGCTCCCCAGTTCCCACACACACCAGTGTAAACCAACATGGGGTTTGCGAAAGAAGGCGATAATTTTGTGGCTAAATAGGGCAAGAGCAAGTCAGTCGTGTGGAATTGGTACGGCTTCGCAGCTTCAGACGAAGAGCAATCCACTTCCTGTTGCAAAGTCTGTCTGAAGGCGGAATCAACCCGTCCACACGGAAATGAATTCAGGAGTAAATGCAAATGTTTTCTGTCGTATCAGTGTTTTCATCCTTACGGAAACAGAATTTCGGGTGACTATAAGCAATACTTTTTGAAAATGGGTTAGAGAGTGCATAAATCCGTAAATGACTACCATTTCATCTCCATGTGGATGTCTATCTGCATCTCTTGAAATTATCATGTGACACACAGGGTAACTTTTTTATGCGGCTGTGTGCGTCTGGCCAGAACAACCTTTTAACGCATGCTCTGTACTCTTCTTCTGTCTTTTGTGCATTTCCTTGGCAGCATTACAGTGCCACTTACTGGCTTGGCATTTGCACTACATCGTTTTCAGTGGTTTTGTTTTGACAGATGATAGAAAATCTTATCATTCAAGTGAAGTTTGGTGAAGTCGTCACTGAATAAAAAATCTAAATTGAAAATCGAGTTTTCAGAGAAAAAAATCAGGATTCCATTTTTGGCCAAAACCGTGCAGCCCTAATATGAATTGTCCTTAAGCAAGACAGTGTACCCCACATAAAATATCAGCAAACGAGACATGCAAAAGTGCTTTGATTGCTTATGCTGTCTCACTGCTATACACTCCCTCTATGTTGTATATTTCAAAATCAGCTCCATGGCTCTGAGCTGGAGATGAATTGTTCCCAGTCTAGATGTGTTTTTGATCAAACCAGTGTTGATGGGTCGGTGTGGGTGGCAGGAGCCAGGTTTTGGCACTTTCACTCGCACACATGGCTTTATTAACAAACCCACAGACAAAGCCATCACTTGGATAAACATTAAGTACAGCTCAGAGGTTCAGTACTGCCCTTTTTCAGACCCACTCACTGAAAGCTTGAGAAGGTTTTAGTGAGGAGGATACTTCAGTAATGATGTCACCAGCCCCAGCACCTCAGGAAACTCGGGTCGGCTGAGTCTCTCCTTATTGCCTATCAACAACTAATGTTTTAAACACACACTGCTGACACAAACAGTCCTCTGCTTGACCTTATTTAGCCCTCTTTTCAAAGAAACACACCGTCAAAACCATACAGCACACTGGACTTAAAAATGATGCCAATGAGGGAGTACTAAAAACTGCTGTTCCTCAGGTGTCCACTTGCAGCTGGCTCTGGAAACAATACAAATTCTTTTGCACAAAACAACCACTCTCTCCTCTGTCTCTGTCCTCGAAATGGTGCACATTGTGCAGCCATTCTTAAAAACAAAATGCATTTATCACTAGTTTGTTTGCTCTGTACTATGTGGCTTTAAAGATAACCACCTCGTATTAGGGGATCTGCTATGTAAAAGGCTCATTCTCAGTAACATTGAACTCTTTTCTATTCAGGTGATAACACACTAATTCAAACATAGCTATAAAAATTATACTCTAAATCTAATAGGTATGCTCTGCTAAATGATACTAATTTACTTGACAAACTTCTGTCTGCAGAAATGACAACCACTGCTTTCATGTTTGCACCTGAGATAGGTGCTGCCTGAACCAGCACGTAGGCTGTGAGATGTGGTGCCCTCCCCCTTCTCCTCCTCCTCCTCTTCTTCATCCTTCAGTGCTTCAGGCAGTTGGTAGGACAGCCCCCCCCTCCTCAGCATGTCAGGGCAGTCCACTCTGCACCCTGAGCTCACTGCCTGCGGAGAAGTGTTTTTCTAAGGGTGTTGTACCTCCTCACCTAGCAATGATCCCTCATCTTTCCAAGGAAGACTCTTATACAGCTCTTCTTTAAAATGCGTCTCTGACAGCTTTTTTTTGGAACTCCAAATGCCAAGCACTCACCCTTCCACTACAAGAAGTTCAATAGCTCTGAAGGTGATTGATTTGCAAAGTCTCACCTTAATCTTGAAGTTTTATCTTGCCATTAAGAACTTCTTGAAGTTTCTCACACTCGGACGGTGTTCCTAGAAACAACAGTATCCCTGCAGCTGAGGGACGTTCCACACTAACCATGTCAGTTACATAAAAGCTCTGGGAGTGAATTCTTGCTGCAGCTCACAGCCTATATGAAAGGAAGTGAGCATATGAAAAAGCTGGACTCACTCTGATTGGATCCATATGTGAAGGCTTTTACAGAGCGAGTGACCCATAAACATTTCAGAGCCTATGAAATCAGTTGATTCTGTTATTCGACCTACATTTTCACAGAGCAAAGAGTTCGCAATGCATAGCTTCACCTTGCTTTGCTTGTTGTGCGTGAATGGGAAATAATAAAACTAACATTTGACTAATGAATTGACACAGACCTTGAAATTTAACCTGTGAACTTGGTATTAGCTCTTTAGCATGACAGGTTGTTAAGTCGTCTTTTCATAGAAAACAGGCAAAAGGTGAAACTGGTTTTCTTTCCTCTAAACCGGAAAAAGATCCAAAGCCTCTCATCACCCTGGCATTTTGACAATATGTGCCTGTGTGACCCAGTCTCAGAGTATTTACTCTGTAAGGTCATCGGCTAACAAGAATGTTGGTTGACAGTCCAAGTTGTTTCTGTGGGAGTTGAGCTTTCTCAAGGATAGAGGTTGATGTATTTCTCTCTCGTCTTCAGTTGTTGCAGTTGGTGATAAATCTCTTTTATGGTTCCAGTGCAATTTTCTCCTGAGCTCTTTGGCCTAAAAATTTTTTAAAGATGTGTTTCTCTCATGATGCCATTCAGGGTCAAACTGCACTAATATTTGTTGTTGTATAAAGGATGAGCGTTTCAAATCAAAACACAATTTAGTAGGCACTGGAATCTACTCACTAACCACTTGATTCACTCTTGCACCGTTGCATTCAATCACAAGCTGGAAACGACTGAAAATACACTTATGATATATATTTTGATATGCGTAAGTAAGAAGTACTGTAAAGTCAACGAGTAATTATTTGAAATAGAATGTTAACAAGTCAAGACCTCCAGCAGCCGCTTGTTTATGGGGGAGCCCTGACGAGTCAATCACCGAGTGCAGCGGCTCATTTCCTTGAAGTAATAATCATCATAATAACCATTTTGCACTGTAGATGTGGTAGTTCTTCTGCCTTAGTGTCTGATTGCATTTCCATAAAGTGATGATCATAAATGTTCTTCCTTGAGCTGCAAAACTCAGCTGCACTCGGGGATCGACTCGTCAAGACTCCCGCACAAACAAGTGGCTGCTGGAAGAGAGTTGGGTAAGTTGTGTTTAGTCTCTTTGCTAAAGAAACCAGGCAAAGCTAAAAAGATGTTCGATGGCTAGTGCTATAGCTGGGACCCTATATGTACTGTTGATGAAGTTAGGTGCTGTTCTGAGCATTATTTGTGGCTATAGAGTGGCTTTTTGGTTGAGGTTTGTGCATGGAGATGTAGACCGCTGTGTATTGCTCTTGTGCGGTCATTACTAAAGTTGGTATAACTAGAGAAGCAAGCAGTCGGCAACGTTCATCTCTTCAGGGCGTCTATAACTTTGAGTTACGGTGTGTTTGACCATAACTTAATGTTACACTGGAATATCCCTTTAAATCAGGTAGCAGTCCTTGTCTTTTCTAAATTTGATGAAAGTTTGCAAGAGCTTCCAGATGCACTACACTCTAGGCATGTCCAAGTTTGTACTAAGTTGTCTTAAGATAACAAAGGAGAGGAAAACAATCATACTGAGCACAGCTTCTTTGACATGGCTGCACACAGGATCACAGACTCTTTGCATAAACAATATCAATTAGGCTAACATTGGCAGAGATAGCACCACCAGCGTTCAGGCTTTCTTGCAGGTAACCATTGACTGTCAGTTCAACATTAGGTCCATCTATTTCTGCTGTGTATCAGGTTGTTCAAGTTAGCAGCAGCTCTGCTCACAGCCCCCAAAGCTCAACTTAAGTGTGGTGTTTGGCTGGTAAAGGCTTCTCGACATTCTGAGTTTGCTGAAAAGAACTGGAGAAAACAGATCTTCAGTGTAAATCTGTAATATCCAGAGTCACTGATTTTTTTTAAAGAGGAAGAGACCTCTGAAGAGGATGCAGCCTCTGGGGGGAAACCTTGTGAACATCATTGTGAGCCTCCCCTGCTCTTGCTCATGTACTGCCTCATGGGTGATGACAAACCTTAAAAACAAAATGCAGAAATTCAAATGAAAAATGAGTCATCTTTGGGTCTTGTAGGGGGCAGCCCCACTCTTTGGCTTTGTGTAAATACTTCTTATATGAACAGCTGGTTCCTCTCACTGAATTTATCTTATAAAAGTACATTAAGTTGATGGCTGAGCTGAAGGTCAGATGACTTTGAGTCTAAGTTTCAAAGACATGATATCTCTATTTGGATGAAACGTTCTCATTACAGATCATCCTGTAGCTGGTAATGCCACAGAGCATTAAGAATGACTTCAACTTTTCAAAGCTAAATGCATTACAGGAGTCTTCAGCTTGTCATTTTTATAGCACAGAAAGTCATTTCGTCCAAGACCAAGAGTGATTAGTGTCACATTGATCTTCATTGTTATGTTAATACAGCCTCTTTGAATTAGGACGTTAAAACAGAAAAGGAGTGAACCCTGCTGACTGCTATGATTAGCCCTGTGACTGTTATCTTTGGGGCAAATGTTATATAAATGGGCCCTCATGATATAGGCTTGACAGGGACATTCCTGCGAGATGAGTAATGAGGCCAATGATGCCTCAGAATTAAAAACCCTGAGGCTTTGCCGAAAAGCTGAGTTATTTTCTGTATACCTTTAAAGTCAGTTATTATATTTGAATTAATGTTTGCATGTGTTTTCTCTTTTGTTTTACAGAGATCTGAGGTTTAACAAAATCAAGGATTTACAACCGGGATCCTTCAGACGATTAAAGAACCTCAACACCCTGTAAGTCTTCACACGACACTCTTCTCAGTCTGCAAATATGTAACTTAAATTTTACAGAAGTATCAGTGTTTTTTGCTGAGCCTTTTTCAGGGATGATCTTATATTTTTAGTCAAGACAATGCCAACAACATTCTGCAAGAGTCAGACATTAAACAGGCCTGTCTGCAGTCCTGACTTGTGAGCCATTGAGAAATTTGGCACATAAAAAATATGTCAAAGCAGACCCTGAAATGTTGAGTGGGTGAAATCTTTTACTAGGCAAGAATGGGACAACATTTCACTTTCCAAACCCCAGAGATGTGTCTCCTCTGTTACCCAACGTTAACAGAGATTTGTTAAAAGAAGATGTAATACAACACAATGGTTACCATGGACCTGTTTTTCATCAAACAATACAAAAAAAAATCTTTTTCTACATTTAATTTAATTCATTTATATTTTACACGCTTCAGTATTTTTAAGAATGAAGGTTGGATTAAGTTTGGGGATACCATGTTGGAATAATATTTAAATTGTTAAGAAATTCAGTATATTTAGAAGAGTGCTATCAAAAATCAATCAAGCCTGTTTCTTTTGGGAAGTACTCTTCTTAATAAATGTCACTTCCAGACCAAGTCTTGTATATTGCACACATGCACACATGCACGTACACACAAGTCCATGCACACATTCTTGCTCTCTTCTGCAGTGGTTTCACACATGTAGGTCAGCTCGTAATCTGTGAGGAATTTATTTTTCCACTTCCACCCACAGGACTATTTATCATATGTCCAGCCTTTGAGACAGTCGTGCGTAGCTAAGCTAATAAAAGCCAAGTGTTCCAAGTATCATTCTTTTATTGGCAACAAATTAGTACAGCAACTCTCTTACAATTTAGAGGAAATGTGCTCCAGCTTATGTAAACCATATCCTTATCTTTACATGCCACATTTCAGACTGCCTAGTTGGCTGCTTGGATAAATCAAACACTTCACCTCATTCACATATTTGCAAACATTATTGAGATGCTTTCCCAGCCATGACTGCTGTGGAGTGAGGGAGACATTTACAAAGTAATCACACTTCACTTAAGTGTATCCATCCAGTTCTATACCCATAATAGTCAATAATAATGAGAAATGATGCATGCCATTGACAATGTGGATTTAGTTTCAAAGTGAAGAAAAGACCCTGAAGGCAGTAGAAAAGCCCAGCCGGTCAGCCATGTGGAGAGCTGAGAGCTTTACATCCTGAATCGTCTGTCATGGTTTCAAGCTGCGGTTCCACAGACTGAACAATAACATATCCGAAAGTCTACCAGTTTTTGAACGACAGAAGCATTTCCACTTCACTGCTGTACAGACAGGAATGTGAAATTAATCTTTGGCAGTGTGTCGTCCTCTTTATAGATTTAAAATGTACTGATTTGAAAGGGAGAATACGGAAACTGAAAAGAGGACCTTACAGCAACCAATCAAGGGAAGCAAATAAATCCAGAGTAAGTCCACAAAAGTGTTTTTTCTTTTTCTGCAACTGATAGTAACAGGTTACTGACACTACTTTAGGTATGCCAGGCCTAAAAAAATAACTTTTTATTGAGTAAAACTTGTGCTCTCAGCTTTAAAAATTTAGGAGCACTCACTTGGCATGTGGAGACAAACAACCCTGCACACTCTGGAAGTCTGAGTACAAAGGAAACCCACACATGCATGAGGGGAGCGTGCAAACTTCGCACCAAGAGGTTACTCCCCTGCCCGGGATTTGAATCAGGAACCTTGTGCTGCTAACTACTGTACCACTGTGCAGTTGTTGATTGACTTGTATTTTTAGGTTACCGGGGTAACCGTCTTAGCAGGAATTCAACTGTGAAACTTCTTACAACAATCAACATTGACCTTAAAAATAGTTTTTGGGAAATACCAGAGGTCAAGGGTCAAGCACTGCAATCAACTGTAAAATGAATCACATTACATCATTTTTTTCACTTTCATTTTACAAACTGCACCAAAATCTACCAAGACAAAACAGACTTCTCAGCTCATATTAATAAATCCCATGTTTCTCTTCTTTACAGCCTCCTTAACAACAACCATATACGAAGGATCCCTAGGGGGGCTTTTGAAGACCTGGAAAACCTCAAATATCTGTAAGTTAGTTAACTGCTGTCAGTTTTGTTTTGCTTTTCAGGTAATGAAATTGATCTTTAGAGACGTGTTTTTAGGCCTTGTGGACAAGGAGTTTACACTTTGTCCGCTCAATTGGAGAAAAAGTATGGTTGAAAACATGCCACACACTCACTTGCATCAGAAAAGAACAAAGCCTATTGACTGGAAGAGTTAAAAACAGCTGATTTTTGTAGACTGCTCTGTCAGCAAAAGCAGCAATGAAAAGTCTCTGTGTGTCTGATCCTCTGTACTTATGTGTCTGGGAGTCCTGACCTGGAGGCAGAGTGGAGGACAGATTTTTCAGCCCTGTGTAGCCTCGAGGTTTCTGGGGGACTGGTAGTTTGCTTTGTTAGTCACTTTACATTATCATCCCACTGACCTCAGCTGTAATAAGAAACACCGCTCGTTCTCATAGTCGGGTGCGATGTTCCTGTGTGCACATTACTCAGAGCTTGACACACATCTTTTATCAAATTAAAAGAACCCCTGGAGGTCATGCTGAGTTACACAGCAGTGATATCACCAGTGTGCCCTGGTTGTGTGCCGATATTCACTCTATTACATCTGCAAGCTTGTAATGTATAAACGTCTAAATTCTGTACTGCAATGGCCCCATTGGATGCATAGACCAAAAATATGTGCATGCCAAAAGTTTATCTTTCATAGTCACTAAGATCGGATTACTTCAAGGCAATGGCAGCAATCTTTGACACCATCTTGTTTTTTTAAATTTAATGTTATAATCCTCATGAAAATAACAGATAATGGAAATAATATTTTCATGCAACCATATGCACGTAACAACAATCGGTGTTACAAATTTCTCACTCTCCCAATTCCGTACAAGTATCTATATGCTGTATCTCAAGAATCGTAATGGATACAGAGATGTACTAGTTACCAAAATGTCCGCAATACCCAACTTTATATTCAACTTCAATATATGTATGGGGCTTAAAATCAAGTCATTTTGAGTTATAAAGGAAAAACCACATTTTTGGGGCGGACATCTTGGATTTTGGGGCCGCCATCTTGGAATTTTGCGTGGCTAATGTTATTTTTGAAAAGAGTGGGATTTGAAGAGTATATGTACCAAATTTCATGCTTGCTTAATTAAGTGAACGATTATTTCCTTATCTGCTCAGCTAAGAGATATGGGGCTGGGGGAGAATTAGCATCACTGTTTAGGGCTGCATCAAACTTTAGATTTTGTCAGTTGAATCAGATATGGCTTTCCTGTAAGAATCGTCAACTGATTTTCTGCTATACCAATAGCTTTATCAGCCTGTGTAAACACGTGTTAATTCATTTCTTCTGTAAACATCATCAAATATATCTCCAGATAATGGTGATTTGAGTAGTAATGGACCATTTAAGGGAAGAGGGAGCTGAGAACCAAGGCAAAGCGTTCAATATCAGTCACCTACGTTCATAAGCTTGGGGAATGAGCTACTCTGAAAGGTGTCAGGGCACAGTCTTAAGATAAGGTGAGCAGCTCGGACACCCAGAGGAAGCTCAGGATAGATCTACTACTCCCTCCTTATGTTGATAGGAACGCACTGAGGAGGTTCAAGCATCTGATAAAGACGCCTCCAGGATGTCTCTCTTGGGAGGTTTTTCAGGCACATTTATCTGACCCTGAAAAAGACTCTGAATAGGCTGGAGACCTTACATATCCTACTTTGCCTGGGAATGCCCAGGGAGGAGCTGAGAATTAATGCTTACTCAGCCTACTGAGTGGCCCTGGATCAGTGGAAGAAAGGGGTGGGAAGGTTGGATGGAAATTCTCATGTGTTTCAGCTCAAACTAATTCTGAATTATTTCAAGATTTTACACCGTGAGCTCATTTATTAACTACTGGGTTAGAAAACCATCTTCATGTGATTGTTAAACAGACTTACATCAATAAGGATGGATTACTTTGGGCTTTAAAATGCCATGCATTCAAATCTGAAAGTCCAACACATGGAGTGAATAAAAAAAAACAACTGCATATCAGCATGTAGTTTTTAGCCTTCACAGTGGACAGTACACACCTTCAGCCAACATTTTTCTTACAACCACTCTTACACAACTGTTGCACAAAAAGTGAGTTGATTTAGGCCCTCTGGCCTGATTGTGTTTTAACATTACAAAACTGTCCAGTGAACATCTTGGATGAGCACTAGACCTTTGACACATGGTTGCATATCAAACCCACTCAACAGGGAGAGGTTGGGGGTGTTAGAGAGGGTTTAAAGGCTCTCCTCTCCTCTCCCTTTTCCATTTAACGGCCCACAAACACAAAGTTCCTGTCATGTTTCCAAACTCTTTATGTTGTAATGAAATTCTGAAGCTATTTGGTTACAGTTTGTTTAATTACAGACCCCCATGTAAGCAGAGCTGATCTAAAGACTTAAATTACCTTTGTGATTAGTTTGAAGTGTCCTCCCATCTCTCTGTCTTTCTCTTGAACCTGTGTCCTATCGCCTGGGGGCTAGATTGTATCGCCCATCTCACCTCTTCACTTCCTCTGGATCCCAGGAAAGTCCACTCCCCGTTATCTTTCATGTCCTCCAAACCTAATGGCCAAGCGGCTGTCTATACAACGACCCCCTCTTTCCCCCAACCACCTCCATAAACAAGTCAAAGAGAGGTCACCGCGCCTCTTTGTGGGAACCCTTCACTGTTTATTTTAGCCTTCATTCAGTTGCATTACATCCTTCTGTAATAGTCTGCTGTCGGGTTTATTTTAGGAATGCAGGCCTTTGGTTGGTTTCTGCTTACGCGTGACGGCACATTAAAGGAGAATCCTGGGTCGTGTTTTTGCATATTTCAGATCTAAATGATGAGTTAGTACAAAGTTTGGGAAAATGTTCCAGGGTTGCTTCAGTCAGCAGCCGCAAAATGGGCTGTAATGGCTGCTGTGTAATCCTTGGGGGTAAATGCCCCAGATCAAAGCTCGACACTGTAGAGGCATGTTTTGGCCACAGACAGGCCCATACTGCTACTCTAAGTGCTTGACATCTAAAGGGGAAAAATACTAGACAAAAAGATTCTTAAGATGAGTAAGATGCTTTTTACTCTAATCAGAGCCGGTCTTAGACACAAATTACAAATCCCCAGACTCCACAGAGGAAACCTTCAATTCTACCTCACAGCACTTGTTTAAATCACTGGTTAGGATCTGAAAAAAGACACAACAGACAAAAACTTAACAGCCAAGGCAGAAGAAAACCAGCAACTCTCATTGTCTGTGAGGTAAAATGACAGTTTTTGTGTCAGTTGGGTGGCCTTTAAGTGATGTATCTGACTGCTTTCTTCTCTCTTCCATAAAGATTAATGTTTGGCCTTTCTTGCCCTTAGTTTGAGAGAGCAGCTTTAGAGAGACAGGGAATATACAGAGAGGGAGGGTATTGACAAACACCAAATGATGCTGAAATCAGGAATCAATCTAGGGACCAGCACAGTGGTGACCAAAGCCTCTGTACATGGAGAGCTTGCTCTATCAAAACCAGTGTTTTTTTTCTGTTGAAGGCAGGATCTTACCCCAATCAATGAATGAATGAAGTCTTCTTTAGATTTTTAACTCTTTAATATCATTATATTGAATTATGATCTGGAACTCGTAGTATCAGAAATGAGCATATGTAGTTGCCATACTTTGATTAAATGCCAATACAGCCTGTTTTACAACTGCCAGCTTAAGTCACCCCATTCAAACTTCATAACAATGACTCAGCAAAAGTGATGTTTGGAGGCAGTTTCAACAGACATATAAATCCCAACTAAATGACTGATGTAAATGTAGGAAAATACACATGAAACAGTCACAACCATAGACTGTATGTGCTGGACAACTTGGTTCTGCCTTCCATCGTTATATGGATTTGAAGCCAAATTGCTCTCAGGATTTCCGGGATTTTCTCCACTTCCTGGAACCACCACTTGCACAGTAACATTGTGCGCACTCGGTGGGAGAGTCGCCAAGAGTCGCTGTGATGACGCTCTGAACAGTGTACCCCCCGGGTGAGCTACGCAATCTTGGCACACCCATAGGCTGTATTAAGTGTCAATCATAGAAAACATGAACCCTCTAATAACTTTTAAAAATGGAACTGCACAGAAAAAAGAGGACTTGAGCACAAATTACTCTTACAGTAACTGCATGTCAACATCACAACCAAGTGGGAAAAAATGTATATTCTGTGTAATTAATTTCTAAAGTTTGTTCACAGCTCCATAGGAATTGCTGGAGGAGGCAGGATTTATGGCCTATACTGCAGCCCGTCACCAAGGGTGCTGTACTCAGGGTGGCTTCACCCAGCGAGGAGGCAGATGGCGTCCATTCTATATACAGTCTATGGTCACAACTGAGCACAGTGTGTTTAAATATGAGATCACAGGCATACAATGTCAAAGTAGTTTGGCTAACCTTAGCAGAGCTAGCACCTTCAGCCTTCAGTCCTAATTGCAGGTTTATGTCCACATGCCTGGGGTTAGGGATGCCGCTGTCATCTGTGGTTTTTACACATTAGTAGTAGAGTATTATGGCGTTGTAGCAGTTACAAATAACTGGAGCTATAGCATCAGCTAGCAGTGGGTTGGTGCACTATATGTTACAATACAAGAACTTTATTGATCCCCAAAGGGAATTTCATTTGTCTGGAGTCTCATGTCTCAAAAAGTCCTCTAGTATTTACTGAAGAGTTATAAAGTCTGATGGCTGTTGGTACTAAGGATCTTCTGAATCTTTCTGTCCTGCAAAAAAGAGAGAGAAACCGTCCACCACCTCTGGCCCTCTGGTCCATCAAGGTGTTGTGAAGTGGGTGATCCATGTTCTTTAGAATAGTCTCCACCTTCCTCAGTGTAGATCTCTACACCACATCCTCCAATGAGTCCAACTCGAATCCAACCACAGAGACAGCCTTTTTCACCAGTTTGCTAAGACGTCTTGCATCTTTGTGTTTGATGCTTCCTCCCCAGCAGACTGCAGCGTAGAACAGCACACTTGCCACCACAGACTAATGAAACATCTGCAGCGTCTTACTACAGATGTCTATTGATCGGAGTCTTCTCAGGCAAAAGAGGCAGCTCTGCCCCTTTCTGTAGATGAAGTCTATATTTTTAGACCAGTCCAACTTATTATCCAGGTGTACACCTAGATATTTATACAATGACACCACCTCGATGTCCAAGCCACAGGTGTTAGGCTCTTATCAGATGCCTGTGTTCGGCTTCTTGTCCATAGACACACATGACCAACAGTTCAGGCTGGCAATAATAGAAAAAAATCCATAACTGCATTAAAGCATGATCATTAGGTCGACTAAATGCAAATATCTATCTAAGTCAATAAGACCCAAAATATGCAATAGTGTCCAGAAGATGATTAAATTAGGCTGTCATGTGTTTAAGGGGAAGTCCTTCTGGGTCCTAAAACTGTGAAGAAAGAAAACAATTCTGCAAACTGAAGGATTTCAAAATCAGTGTCTGGTTATAAACAAGCAGTTGAGTACTGTTTAAGAGCCACCAAAAGACATCTCTTCATAGAAATGAATGATCCTCAAATTCAAGTCTATAACTTCTAAATCTAGTTTCTCATGAAAACCTCACACCAAATGTATAGAGACACACACAAGGCTGAGGGAAGATTCGTATTAATCAAAATCGATCAGAGGGTTCTTTAAGTCTGACAAATGAAGTATGGCAACAGTTCATCTTGTTACTCGATTTCCTCTGGAGTAAACACATGACGTGTGAAGATCAAAGTTTTCACTATCTGTTTGAATTCTGTGTCATTCCTCTTTGAAAGTCAGTTGAGTTCAAGTTGTGGCTTTAAGCTTAATTTGTCTTTATCCTATCCCATTACACAAGATCAAGTTTGTTTTTGTATAAACTCCATCTGTGGAAAGAAACCTGATAGCAGTGACACAGATGTGTTACATCACTAAGAAAGGCATGCAGTGACAGAAGGAGGATGTTTGTTTTTCCATAGAAAGCCTCACTTGTGCCTTTAGGAGAGAGATCTGTATCTCTCATCATGTCTCATCTTGAGTGTAATGCTTCAGAGAGACATGAGAGGACAGACGGCCGTAAGCTCTGCTTTTCTGGTGTCACATTCCTCTAACATATATGAAGAAAGGGAAACATGCAGATGTGAGAGTGCTAAAATACTGGATTGACCCTGAGCAGGCGGCCTATGACTGTTTCAAGTTCAAATATGGCAGTTGCTGGAAAAAGTGGTGCATATGGAAAAAAGATTTGACATACAAGGAATCTGAGATGAGCTGTTTTGAGTGGGTTTTCATGCTGACAGATTTACCTTGGTGCACAAACCCTCTTAGAGAGGAATCTCTGCCCGCTCTTCCTGAGGTCTTCTGGTACATCATCTTTGACTCTTGAATATGAACCTTTGCCACTGAGTGGAAGGACATACTCACTGACCATGAGCTCTGTTAGCCTGCGTTATTGTTGTCCTTTTTCTCTATTACTGCTCATCTCTGACAAAGGTTTGATTGTAATTACATACCTAGTCCCAAACCCTCCACTCACCGACTCGCTGACTTTGAAGTGCTTTCTCACTAAGTGTATGAGTGCTTAGAGCTTGTCAAAATGTCAAGGCTGTTAGAGCCGAATAATGCACTTTATGTGGGTCTGCATATATGCACACTGAGCTGTGAACTTGGTGATGTGAGCAAATGTTTGTGTTCGGAAGCTGTGTTCAGTTAAATGACCACATGCAGTTTAACGACTCTGTTGTTATTGTCCATGTTTGTAGAGGTTTTATGTTTCCCTGTTAAGAATATCTAAAAGATTAACATTCATGGTCTCTTGACATTTGTTAGTTTGTCTAAGTATATTAAGATCCTCATTTAAGATATAAACAAAATGTCATGTGATATCTTATACTGTTTGATACAAGCAACAACCTTCAGTAATGAAGCCAGTAAAGAGGAGCTTTAAAACTGCAGTTCCTCAAGAGTCCACTCGAGGCTGGCTGTGCAAAAGTACCAGCAGCAACATAAACACCCATTTATTTTCTTTACAGGGAAAATAAACATGTTTGCAGCCTGATCCAAAAGTCTAATTTAGTCAAAATAGTTCATCAACTGGTGGTGAAATTTTTTCTGTCTTAGTTTTGAAAATTTTAAAAGTAGGAGCATGATTAGGAGCACAGCCAACTTGACTGATGTCTGCAGCTGCTAGCGAGGGAGCCAAAGGCCTTAGTTCCTTCTCTTTGCCTCTTGCTTTGTAGACCTGAAAGTTAGGTTGTCAGCATTTCCAAAACTGCAACCATCAACACCAGACTTCATAACTTTGCTTTCAGAAACCAGTAGGTGACCTTATGAAGGCTGTGTTCATGTTCGATGCAGTCTATGATGTTTTCCATCCTTCCTGTACACACTGCCCGTCCTGATGCCATGAAAGTCAGCGAGGGTTCGGTAAGGTGGCATCAGGGTGGACATTGGGATTGGGCCGTTAACAATGATCTGTGAAGTATTCCAGCACACAACGCCGTAGCCAGTGTAGTTATGTAGGAGTTGTGTTGATTTTTTATAACAGTTTGGTTTCCTTGGTGAGTCTTACTCTCTGATAATGACTTCTTTTTATCTCTAGGTGATCCCTCTGTTATCTCACTTGAGACTAGCATTTCAAATGATGTTATTTTGATTAGGTGCATTTACATCCATTTGCATCCTATTTTTGCTGGAAACCGTCTTTCAAACTCAATGTTTATTGTATGCCTCACTTAATATATTCATAACTTAGATTTCCACCAAAGTAAACCTACAGTACAGTTTACGGTAAAAACAAAAAATGCATATGTTTGGGAAAAAATCTGCTGACTAACTGTTTTGAATTAAATCATTTTCTTTTCTCTTGTACCAAGCAGGCAGACCTCAGATGATCACGAGTGTGTGTGTGTGTGTGTGTTACTAATGAAATTGATTATCTCTCCTTTCAGCTATTTGTACAAGAATGAAATCCAATCAATTGACAGACAAGCATTTAAGGGGCTTGTCTCTCTTGAGCAACTGTAAGTGACCAACTTCCTCGTCCACTTTCTTCCCTCTGCTCGCCCTGCTGTTCCTCCTCCCCCCATACTGTCTCTCTGTCTGTAAAATACCCCCCACCCCCACCCCTCAAAGATTGATATCAGCAATACATGAAGCCTGGTGATAGCTGCATGGTGATCTGAATTTATTAGACGAGTTAGTAATAAAAAAGGCCATACATGTCACAGTGTTTGACTGGCTTGGTATGCTTTGTGACATGACCGAGTTGGCTGTGTGCAGGTATCATAATAATAGCCCTGTTCTGTTTCCATAACAGTGACACCCTCCCCCTCCAACCCCCTACAAATGCCCCTCTTTCTCCCCACCACCATGCATGCCGTGTGTGCACCCACCCCTGTATGCCGTGCTGACCCTCCCTGCATGAGTCGCATGAGTTGTGGTCCAGACAGCAGATATATTGAACTACCATGCGAACAGAAAGCATGATGTGTAGCTTTGAGATGCTGGTAGTGCTAGCAGACTTGTGTCTGAGTCAAAGCCTGATACGTTTTGACCCACACTGTGTCTATGCTGCTCTTATGGAAACCAACCGTCTGCTCTGATTTGCTGTGATCTGCTTTCATTGTTTGTTGTGAGAAATGTTTAATGATTTTGTTTAAATCTTGATGCTTTAGGGTCAGACACTGCAAGTTGTTGTTGGGTATTTTAAATATGATATGCATTAATTATTATAGATCAGAAATTTGGGCTGTCAGTAGTTAGGTGTGAGATATTCAGGACCAATATGGCCAACCTCCCCCTTTCCTTATAAAGGGTAATCCTTCTGTTCTCATGGAGGAGAGAGACCATGTGTTACTGTACCCCTCTGTGACCACATTAACACAGAACAAATGTCCAATTCACCAAATGAAACCAGTTCTAACATCAGGCTTCATGCCTAACAGCTGCTTTGAATTTTGCTACGATAATGAAATAGTTTTATGTGGGTGACCAGCTCTTTGCTGGAGCGCACACTATAAGACTTCCCAAATGCCAAAACCTGAAGTCACTCACATCTACTTTTTTTATACGACCCACCACCACCCCTTATCTGTTGGTGGTTTATCCTCCTGCATGGGGTTCTCCAAGGAGCACAGGAGGTAAAATCAGGGTTGTAGGCTCACATTAGGGTTGGCTGATTTGTCCCAAGAAGGAAACGACATAGTTCCTCAGCCCGCATCTATGTACTTTTCTTATAGTGCCCATGTTAATTAGTATTTCAAGTGAAAGTGAAAGCAGTGCATTGTGCCATTGTCATACTGCAGCAAATGGAATTATTTCACCCGCTCGTCCTGAAAAACTATGAGCTTTCATTGTGGCTGATGCGTCTTCATTCACCGGGTCACCATCACCGACTCTAAAACTGATCATTTCTTTAACTCTGCTCAGCTCTTCTGACTGTGCTTGAGTTGGCTCTCCGACTCATAACAATGAAGCGAGTTAAAGCGGTGATTGAAGGCTGGTATTAACCAATTAAAACTGAGCACTGAATTTTAGAATGTAAAGCTGACTTTTGATTGGTTATGCAATCGTCAGACTGATGGCAGTTTATTGGCTAACATCATAACACTGCACTAATCTCGGAGCTAGGGCTGTACGATAAATCAATTTTAAATTATAATTGTATTATTTGATTATGACCATGTTAAAATTAAAATCATCAAATTGATTTTCCTCTCTATCATGTCTCGCACCTCCAGGCCACCGTAGGCTCCCCCTTTCTGTGGGAGTACTCCCCAGTTTTCACACACACCAGTTTAAACAAACATGGCGTTTGTAAAAGAAGTTGATAATTTCGTGGCTAAATAGGGCAACAGCAAGTCAGCCGTGGAATTGGTATGGCTTCACAGTTTCGAACGAAGAGCAATCCAATTTCCGCTGCAAAGTCTGTCTGAAGGCGGTATCAACCCGTCCATATGGAAATGAATTCAGGAGTAAATGCAAAAGTTTTTCTGTCGTATCATCCTCTCGGGAACAGCGTTTCGGGTGACTATAAATGATACTTATTGAAAATGGGTCAGAGAGTGCATAATCCCATTTAAAGACTACCATTTCACCTCTGTGTGGATGTCTATCTGCATCGCTAGAAATGATTATGTGACACACAGGGTAGCTTCTTTTTATGCGGCTGTGTGTGTCCAGCCAAAACAACTTTTATATGCGTGTTCTTTACTCTTTTTCTGTCTTTTGTGCATTTCCTTGGCAGCGTTACAGCACCACTCACTATCTTGGCATTTGCACTACATTGTTTTCAATGGTTTGGTTTTGAGAGATGATAGAAAAACATATTATTAAAGTGAAGTTTGGTGAAGTTGTCACTCAATATAAAATCTAAATCAAAAATCTGGTTTTCAGAGAAAAAATCAGGATTTTATTTTTAGCCAAAATCGTGCAGCCCTACTCTGAACATATGTTTCATAAACAAACAAAAGGCCCCATAATTATTTGCACTCACAGAAATGCTCTTGAATATATTTTAAAGTCACTCCCAAAAACTTTAAACCATCTCATTATTAATGCATTAAATGGTGATGTGTATTTAATATTGTACACGGTCACTGTACAAAATATAAAAAATACAGGAGCAGATAAAACAAAAATGGTCTCAATTTTGAGTCCTTGTGATGCAAGTCCCAGTTCCATACACCTCTCTCATTTGGCTGTGTGGACTGATGCTTGAATAAATCAATCCCTGTACTGTCTTTCGTAGATTTGACTGACTTAAAACAATCTTTACAGCAGACAATAAGGCATAATGCTGCAAAACTGAAACAACATTATTTATTTAAAATAACCTGCTTTCTTTGATTAGCGTCTGCACATGCCACCATATCACCGACAGCCTCCAGGCAACCTTGACTACGAATAATATGTATTCTTTTGTAAAACCTGCCCCTGATCCAGCTCAAAAACTCCAAAGCACAGGCATAAATGCAAAGTAGACTCATCTAGTGCACTTTGTAAAGTTGAGAGTGACCAGGACTGATTGATTTCATTATGCTGCATTCCCAACTGAACTTGTTAACAGCTTCACTGGATCTCTAAGAGTTTTAAAAGTGAAGCAACAAAATAAGTGTTGAGGGATGCTGATTGCTCCTGGAGGGGGGTTAAGAGTTTCAAGAATTCATTTACAGCTGGCTTCATTAGAAATTTCTGCCTGCTGCTATCTGGGCCATGTCCTGCTTTTACAATTCTGGCTCCTGTACAACACATAGCTCAGGCAACACCCAAAGACATAATGCTGGCTGTCCAGTAGAGCTCATAAAATACAGCTTTGAATCAACAACTGGGACATACCAAAAGACAAGGCAAGGACAGGAAGTCATGTTGCATTTCGTTTTACCTTGTTTTGCTGCTTTCCCTGTCTGTTTTGCTGCTTTGGCTGTTGCTTTTCATGTCGACACAAGCAGATGTCCAACTGGAGCCTTCCTTCAGAATTAAGCCATCAGTTGGATTTCATTTCTCTATCCTTTTTATTAGCATATGATTTGATTTATGTTTTCTCAGCTCAGAGCCTTCTTGGAGCATAAATTGTGCTTGCATTCCATGAGATAATCTTGGTAGAAGCTTTTCACCTGTGGGCAATCTTATCTCTAACTTCAGACGTAGAGTTTAAAGTCTGTGTATCAGCTGTCTCAGATGAATGCCTGCAAAAGCAGATTCCTTCAGTCTGTCTGCATTCATCTAAAGCTAGATGTAACTTGTTCTTTAGCTTGTCTTTCAGTCAGGGGTGAACAGGTGAATAGTGATAACTAGTATGGGACACTTCCTTGGACAGTGAGATTTAATGTATGTCTTAATCCAGTTTTGTTGTTTTTTTGGTTCACTTTATACTCTTTTTCAGGTACCTTCACTTCAACAACATTGAATCTTTGGAACCAGAGTCATTCACTCAGCTACCGAAGCTCGAGCGACTGTAAGTTTATGCTGTTTGATGTGTTTAATTTCAGTGTGCACCCTTCACTGCGGTGAAAAAGCATCTTTCATTTGAACTAGAATCAGCAGGAAGTTTGAGAAGGAACTAGGGGAGGAACAAGTGCCAACTACAGTAGATGTTGAATTTGCTGTGCAGTACAATGATAAAGTACAGCCTTTAAATAACCATAGCCAACAGCCTCCCAATGAGCCCTTGAGGCCTTCTGTTTAGTGCTGAGATTATATTCAGTCCTCATGAGACCACTTGTGTTAGTCCTGTCAGAGCAGTGAGATGATGTTAGTGTTCCTTTTATTCTGTGGTTTATGTGTTGAAAAAGACTGCTCAAGTTCAGTTAGATAATAACTTCAGGATTTGTGTTGGGTTGTTTTGGAGTAAATATAATCCTGAGTTCAAAAATACCCAAAGTGGGACAATTAAAGGGATATTCTGGCGTAAATTAAAGTTATGGTCAAACACACCATAACACCCCGTTAGAGACCCCCTCGAGAGATGGATGTTGCTGACTGCTTGCTTCTCTAGTCATACCAACTTTAGTAACGACGGCATGATAGCAAGACACAGCCGTATACATCTCCTGGTGCATAACTCAACCAAAAAGCCACTTTATAGCCACAAATAATGCTCAGAACAGCCCCTAACTCCATCAACAGAACATACCGGGTCCTAGCCATAGTACTAGCCATCAAACATCTTTTTAGCTTTGTCTAATTTCTTTAGTAAAGAGACCAAACACAACTCACCCACTCTCTTCCAGCAGCCGCTTGTTTGTGGGGGAGCTCTGACGAGTTGATCACCAAGTGCAGCAGATTATGTCCATGAAGTAATAATCATAAATGTTCTCCCTTGAGCTGCGAAACTCTGCTGCACTCAGTTATCGCCTCGTCAGTCGGCAACATTCATCTCGTGAGGGGGTGTCTAACTCAGTGTTGCGGTGTGTTAATCACAACTTAAATTTACGCCAGAATATCTCTTTAATTCCTTTTATTAACTCAGCCAGTTTAACATGAGGAGTTAGTATGTTTTTACAAGTTTCACTTCAGGGTCCAGGACTGAGAGCACATTTTTGGCTTAATATGCACCGTAATATAGGTAGGAGTGCCCACCTGAATATGGTCAAATTTGAAAAGATGCTTAGGACAGTTCTTTATATTAGGTTAGTTTTACAATAAGTCGTACTTGATGGTATGAACCCTTCCTCCTGCATACGTGGAAGGCAAAAACCTGACACAGAGAGTGCTCACCGCCCCTTCATTTTATCTGCACACATGGCACAGAGTACAACAGGCATCAGTGACTAAGTATATGTCCATAAATCAAGTGAAGAGGTAAAAAGGCGAAATGAAAGTAGCAGGAGTTGTGTCTGTTGTTACACTAATATGTATAATGGAACAAGCTTCATGTGTCTGATGGATTTTGATATCTATTTAAAGTCCAATCCTTGCTGTGTTCAATTGTCTTATTTTACCATCAGTAAATTTTCAGTTCAGAGCATCACTATGATCTGAGGTACACCCTCATGGTTAAGCTTCATATTTAATGAGTAGAGGTTCCCCTGAAAGTTTGCCAATCCATGCCAGAATCTTCCTCCTTATCTTTAGTGGGTGAGCTTTGTTTGTGGAGCTTTTGAGCTGTTCTGGCTGGAGTCTGATCTGTTAGCCTCATGCTAACATGACCGGTGAACACTTTGGATATGAACTTTCCGGACAGCCTGCAGATGTAACACAGCCTCTGTGTCTAAACCTCTTTACCAGATGTCTTGGGGTTGAAGAAAGTCCTTTTAAATTCCTATTTCATTGTCCCTGTTTATGAGCCAGTTGCTCCCCAGTATATCCATGCTTCCCAGTCTCTGGAGAGGGGGAAGAGGAACGAGGGACACCTGCAAAAATCAAGGAAGGAACAGGGTGGGAGGGAGGAGGAGGGAATTCCCAGGCGCACACTCCCAGTGGCTTGTTGAGGAATATCTCCATGGTCACAGTCAAAGCAGCCACTTTGACACAGAGAGCATTTCTGTGAATTTGTTTTTCTAAAGGTAGAGATACAAAATGAAAAACTGTGTGTTGTGGCTGAAGAGGTACAGCTGGTCCACTGATAACAGAAGAGGAGGTTTGGTTTCCACCCTCTGCTGTCCACATGTCAAAGTACTCACTATTGGAGTCATCATCCTACATGAATATACAGATATAGAAGATAATAACTTTGATTAACCATCAGTATTTTTAATTAAAATAATACTGGATTTTTTTCCAAATCCTTATTTGATGTTGCTTTCAATAGCCACAAATGCATCAAGTCTTGAGCTACTTGTAAAGGTCCTCTTCTTATCCTGAACTTACTTGTTTTCATCAATCTCATTTAGGTTTTTACACAACAACAGAATCACCCAGCTCATCCCGGGAACCTTCTCTCATCTTCAGGCCATGAAACGACTGTAAGTGGAACAAAAAAAAAAGATCTGCAACAGCCTCTGAAACATCTGTGTGTGCTTGTCTCTATCAATTTCTGAAGTTTACTCCCATGTGACCTTGTATTAAGTCAGGCCTGTTTGTCGGTTAAATGCCATGTAACCACAGTGCTCTGTTCTCACGCTTCACACTGCAGGATGGTTTCTTTCTCAAGGCTCTCTGACCAGGCTTTGGCATGGTATAGTCATTCTCCCTCTGCAAAAGTGTCGGTGGAAAAATGAAGAAGTTCAAAAATCTAACTTGAATAAAATATCCCTAATTTTTAAGCCCAGCTATCCCTCTAAAAGCCTGTACACAGTAAAGAGCTATCAGTGTGTCTCCGCTTTTAACACAATGTGTATCTCAGAGCAGAGAAGCTTCACTGCTATGTAGACATAGATTTATCATTAGTGCTAGCATCCAAGTAGGGCTGGGTGATAAAACGGTAACGATATACAGTACAGGCTAAAAGTTTGGACACACCTTCTCATTCAATGCATTTTCTTTATTCTCATTACTATTCAAATTGTAGATTCTCAGTGAAGGCATCAAAACTATGAATGAACACATGGAATCGTGTGCTTAAGAGAAAAGTGTGAAATAACTGAGAACATGTTTTATATTTTAGATTCCTCAAAGTAGCCACCCTTTGCTTTTTTGATAGTGCTGCAAACTTTTGCTGTTCTCTCAATGAGCTTCATGAGGTAGTCACCTGAAATTTTTACTTCACAGGTGTGCCTTGTCAGGGTTACTTCGTGACTGACAGTTAGTCACTATGTACTTCTGTCATCAAGAGCAAAGGGTGGCTATTTTGAAGAAACTAGAATATAAAACACGTTTTCAGTTATTTCATACTTTTTTTATAAGTACAAAATTCCACGTGTTCATTCATAGTTTTGATGCCTTCAGTGATATTCTACAATGTAAAAAGTCAAATAAAAATACGAAAGAAGAGACATTGAATGAGAAGGTGTGTCCAAACTTTTGGCCTGTACTGTACATTGAAAATTAATTTCCCTTAATGTAAATATAAAACATGGTTGATATCCTTTCAGTAGTCGGCATTCTGCCTTGTTTTGGTAGACTATACGAACAGCCAATGAAAAGGGGAGTTGCTTCGGGTTCACTTCGTGCTAAACCAATCGTGTTGAATTAGAACCAAGTAGCAAACAACTGCGTAACAGCAGGCTGAAGCTACACACAACCAAAGCACTTTAAAAAAGAAGGCTGATAGCACTGTTGGTGAGAAAAATAGAAAATGAGTGCTACCCCTGGCAGAAATGCAGATGAAGGCTCAACAGATGATGACATCCTCAACAACACTGGCATGAAAACGTCAGTGGTGTGGAGGTATTTTGGTTTTTTGAGGTCGGACATAAAGCAAAGCCAAGTGCACTGCAAATTATGTTGAGTACATTTTCTCGCAAAGTCGGGGAATACCTCAAATCTTTTTCACCACCTGAAGCAGTGCCACGGGGCAGAGCACACGCAATGAAAAAGGTTACAATCCCGAGTAGAGCAAGGAGCCCATGGCGCCTGTGCAGTCGAAACAGCTGACCGCTCAGTCCGCTTTCTCTAGCACAACGCCCTACGACAAAAAGTCAAAGAGACACAAAGACCTCACAGATGCAGTAATTTATTGTATTGCAAAAGACATGCTACCAATAAGCACTGTTAAATTTCAATTTTTATTTTGTGATATATATCGATATTGCCTGATTTGAAAAAAATATATCATGATAACCTTTTTCCCATATCGCCCAGCCCTACATCCAAGGTACAATCTTCATCCTTTAGCGTCTCTGTTTCGTGTTGTATGTAAAAACATCCTGTCATGGTTTCAGAAATCTGGATTTGTTTTTGTCTAAGTTTGAGATTTCTACAAGCGTCATCCTCTTCACTCCAACTGAAACCAGAAAGCTGTTGCATGTAAGCACGCTGTCCAAGTCTTTGTTCATACTACTCTCTGATGAAAACAGAGTGTAATGGTGGAACGACATGATCAAATCTGTGCATCCCCTTATACTGAATAAGACGAGGCCAAAAACAAAGGCACATTGTAACAGCATGACTGAATCGATATTCATGATTGCATTCAGTGAAGAAGGATAAATAAATATGTTGGGGATTGCTCAGTTCTGGGAACAACAGGTGTGACCTAAGATTGGATTTGTTGATGACACATTTTTCTCCAAGTTTATTAAAAGATTGCTCCACGGAATACTGACACAATCGTGAGCCTGTTACATTTCCTGTAAGCTATTTCATGCATATTAGACACATTGTGTTAAAACTGAAAGATGGATCAGGTACCAGATAATGAAGCCAAGCTGAGAGATAGTTTCCCACAGCAGGAAGAGAGGGTCTTCTAGCATGACCCTGCTAAGCCTCTCTGTCTGGTCTGAGCTGTGCTGGGTCTGCCAGAGAGGATTTATACGACACTGCTGCATGCACTGCCCCACCATTACGTGTCATGTATGCTCCCATGTGCCATTTCTCACTCATGTCTGTGTGTGTGTCCTCTGTGTGTTCAGGCGACTGGACTCCAATGCATTAAACTGTGACTGTGAGCTGCTGTGGCTGGCTGACCTGCTGAAGCAGTACGCCGAGTCAGGGAATGCCCAAGCTGCTGCAACCTGCGACTACCCAAGCCGACTGCAGGGCCGATCTGTGGCAACGCTTACTGCTGAGGAACTCAACTGTGGTACGGAGACAAAAACCACTATTTTGACTGAGAGGGAAATCAGATGGTATTTGTCGACATAACAGAGACAGTCACCCTTTTTTTTCTAAATGAGCAGCTTTGGAATATCTTGGTCGTTTAGGAGATGTCCAATTAGGGATGGGTGATAAAAAATCGTTCACAATATATCGTTAGATTTGTATATGGATGACGTAAGCGTAAGCGACGGACTCACAGCCATAGCGCACACAGAGCAGAATAACCAACAAACACGGCCAAAGGTAATGCAGAAGACGTTTCTGAGCAGGTTGTTACTAAATGAGGCTCCACATGAGGGATTTTGTTCAAAATTGGGGCTTAGATGAGTGCAATCAGGTATGCCTGACATTGGACAGTGGATCTGCTGCTGTTCACTTTGTGCAATAAGAGTTTTCGACAACTGTTGAAAATATTTTCACATTTAAGACTTGTTTGATGTCATCAGTTTTTCTCCATAACCTACCTCTTAAATGTCTGTTTAAGTATCTTATTTGAATATTCCAACCGGTGTTCTCAAGACAAAATGAGTCAAAAATATAGATTGCAAATACAATATTTTTTATCAGGACTTTTGTCGCTATCGCCTGAATGGCAAATCTTATTGTAATAAACATTTCCTTTTGATACTGGTTCTAATAGTAAGATTAAAGTCAGATAATAGGAACATAAATAGTGCAAAAGTTTGAAAAACAACTGCTGCATACTACTCATCCTATCTGTGATGTGCCATGAATGCTGTTGGGCCCTATTTTTGTCTTTTTTTAGCTTAAATGTTACAATGTCATTAAGACAGATGCTTTTATCTAAAGTTACATACATTATTGGAAATGGAGAGAAAAGACTTGAGATACCAGACTTATTCCCCACTGAGCACACACCTCTGCAGGCACAAAAGAGAGCAGTATACACACCTTTGTAATTCTACAAATGTCCTGGCTTCAACCACAGCTAACAAATACAAACCCCCAACCACCCTGCCAACAAACAGCAGGTCTGCTTAGTCACCCTGTCTCACCCACACATCGACACAGTCACACACACACACACACACACACTGGTGTATCCTCCCTTTGTGTCTGAGGTCTGTAAGCACCCAGCTGTTTGACTCTTTATGCACCACCAGCTGTGTCTCTGGTCTGAGACACAGACCAGAGCCTCCCCCTTGTTTTAGCCTCTAGTCTCCCCAGTTTCAGATCAGGAGCCTCTTCGGAACATCAATGAGTTGGTGCTGGAGGGGGTTGCTGTGTGTGAGTGTGTGTGCACATGTGGACTATTGTTTTGAAGCTCTAACAAACAAAAAGTTTGTTAAAAAAATTTGATACCAGAGCACACAGTGTGTAACACACATAGGTGCAGTGAAATTGCTCCACACTTGCTTTGCAGTCAGAGGTAGACAATGACAGTGTGTGGTGGGCAGAGTCGCGCTGTGTGTGGGCATGTCAGTGAGCGTGAAAGCACATGCTAGTAAAACAACAGAGTTCAGTGTGTTTGTTCAAAAGTCACGATATCGCTGTTGCAGAAATGTGTGTTAGCTGTTAGAGAGTCTGAAGGGGATGGCATAAGACCTGTGTGAGGGATTACTATAGCAACAACACATCATCAGCAGGGTAAAACTAATCTGCCTCGTGATGTTTGAGTTGTATAACCATGAAGTCTGTTGCAGTGGCTTTTAATGATAAATCACCCACACTGCAGAAGTCAGAGAAAAACCTGACTCACATTTGCACTGAGTCTTAGAGTCATCAGAGGAGCGAATGAACTTCCATTGATGACCAGCGACAGAGCTTAAGACAGTGGCTAAAGACCTGAATCGTTTATTTTTCCTCTCTCATATTGAGCGTAGTGTTATAAACAATCACTTGAATCTTGAAAGTTGCACAGGCAAATGTTATGTCACTACGACAGGTTTGGATCCGAATTTCAGCTGACCTCACTTTTGATGATTCAGCTCTTTATTTCCCCTTTGTTTAAACTCTGTGAAGGTGAAACTTGAGCTTTTATTGTTATGTTACTTTTTCATGCAGCGAGTACAAACTCCAGCCCTCATTGAACTGTAAGTCTGTTAGTTTGTGAACTGTTGTGTAAGCTCCTACAGCAGTAAATCCCACACTCTCAGCTCTGTGTTTCTTCCAGCTCCGTCTGAATACTGCAGCCTGAGCCAGCCAGGCAGGCTGGTTGGCAGCTGACTGTAACCCGACCACATTTAAATCTCTGCAGCTAATTTGATGGCCCCAACTTGCCCATTCTTGTTCACTGAAACCCTCTCCACTTCATCAGTCTGCATAGCGAGCCAGCAGAGGAGGAATGTATGCCTGAAAACATGGTGGGAGTTATTCCACTCCTCCTCCTTGTTCTCCCTCTCTCTGTCCTGTATACTGGGCTGAACAATGCACAGCGGGTTGAACAGCTGTCAAAACAGCCGTCCTCCTTGGGATAAGGTGCTATCTCCCTTCACAGGTGCTATCTGATGAGCCAGGTTGGCCTTCTCATCAGATTACAGCACACAATCTGCAATTACAGTTCCTCCTGTTAATGTAGAGCAACCGTTTGATTCAAGGGGACATGAGTCCTTGCTTCATCTGAGTGTAGGTTCAGTTTACCTGCTGTTGTATAAAGATTTGACCTCAAACTCGGGGGTCAGTCTTACTGGCTGCTCTGAAATGTATCCACCATCTTTTTTTGGGACATTTTTTACCTTTTGCCCAATTTCACCTTTGCCTGTTGACACTGTGGCAAAAACTTTGAAGTGTGTTGTCATTCTAAATTCGTAAACAACATGGAAGATATTTTTCAGATCAGTTCTAGTTCAAGAAGAAAAGACTGGTAGTTAATGCTGGAGTGTTTCAACAAGGGCACTTCACGATTCATTATAATTTTGATTATGGGAGCTTCGATTCTTCGATTGTAATGATTTTTGATTCGATTCAATTATTAGTGCCACGATTCTTGGATTATTGCCATTTTTAATGTTTTTTTTTTATATACAAGATTGATTTTGTCTTCATCTGTGGCTACATTTTTCAAAGACACAAAATATTTTATTTTATGACTGTTATATAAACATTTGCACTTTGACTTATTTAAATTAAACTGGGAAGTTTAGTACAGTCTCCAGGATGGTCCTCTGTGTGGCAGGCACAACTGGAGGAGCCTTCTCTGTTTTGGGATGAAAGCATACAAGGTGCTGCCTTGTGTTTGTGGGGTTACTGAGGTACTTCATTTTTGCTTTGCAAATCTTGGTCTTGTCAGTCGTCTTGTTTGCTCTCATAAAATCCAAAGAACTTCCACACAGTTGCAGCCAACCCTGGTGGTGAAAGAGTCGGCTGCTCTTTAAAGGCTGTTGCCATTTTACAAAGAAACTAACGTGCTCGGTTTGTTGTGGTCCCATTCAAGGTTCCGGATACGTGTTTTTTTGTTCTGGCCTTGCTGCAAAGCATCAGCGTTATTATGTATTTTAAGCATTGACGTTAATTAATTGATGGCAGAGACTTTGCTCCTCCAGATACATAAATATGCACTTATGTATATGAGAAAGCAGGGAGTGTGTGTCTGTTTCCCACTCAAAGATATTTACTGTTTTGTTGATGTAGCTGGAAATTTGTTCACAGGGAAACAAACTCAAATCCTCCTTCCCTGCAGTTCAGTTCTTACCTTTGGAGCAGACGGTAAGAAACAGACACAAAAAAGGCTTTTAAATAAAAATACACCACTGTTTTAGTTCAACTAGTCGATCTCTAAACGTGCTCAAAGACACAATGACTGGCTTCAGTCTCGTGCAAGCCTGCACCAGACAGAGCACAGAGACAGATGATGGATCGATAAATATTTATACTTGTGTAATCATCTTGCATTCCTTCTCTCCGGCCTTTTTCTCCAGAGGTACCCAGGATCACCTCAGAGCCGCAGGATGTGGATGTTACATCAGGAAACACCGTCTACTTCACTTGCAGAGCTGAAGGCAACCCCAAACCACAGATCATCTGGCTCCGAAATAAGTAAGACAGTCAGCACTAAGAAGAACATGTCACTGACTGTTTACAACAGTGTTTCCAGCTAGTTCCTGTTGAAACCTGATAAGCTTCCCAAAATATTTACGATAAAATAAATTAAAGTCTGAGTGTCTCGACCTTACAGTTTACACGCATGTGATTTATGTGTTTTTCTAGAGGAGTGCTGCATGTGAATTGACAGTAAACATGCAGTGATTTATGTTGTGATGTGTCTTCACCTTTACCCTCTGACAGCAATGCTCTAAACATGCGTGATGACAGCCGTCTGAACCTGCTGGAGGACGGGACTCTGATGATTCAGGACACCAGGGAGACCGATCAAGGAGTCTATCAATGCATGGCCAAAAATGTTGCAGGGGAGGTGAAGACTTCTCAGGTCACCCTGCGTTATTTTGGAGCCCCCTGTAAGTATACTTAATAATACTTAAGCTCCATGTCATAATAATGTTTGTGGAAATCTCAGCAGAGCATATTTATGCTCAGGCAGAGTAACTCACATCACACAAATGTAATTTTTAGCATATTTGTCTCTGTCAATCAAAAGACACTAAGACAGAATTGTGCCAGCATTTTATGCAAATTTTGTTTTTGTGATGCTGAGCTGTAAAACTCTGTCAGTATGTTTGTTTTTGTGAACAAAATGGCAATACGAAAATATGAGTATTTCATTTTCAGACATTTATGATATATTTTCCTTTAATCCACATCTAATCAGTCAGAACCCTTTATTTTCTTGAACATTTATTTGTATTCCTGTCAGGGGCTGACTTAATTAGGAGGCCACAGTGTTAGCTTGGTCACTTACCTGTGATGAGTGTGAAAAGGTCACATTACCTGTGAAATGTCTGTTAAGAATATCCGTCACTGCAGGCACAGTCTGGAGCTTTCATCAAAGTGTATCACAGCCCTCCTCATGACCGTGTGTGTGTGTGTGTGTGTGTGTGTGTGTGTGTGTGTGTGTGTGTGTGTGTGTGTGTGTGTGTGTGTGTGTGTGTGTGTGTGTGTGTGTGTGTGTGTGTGTACTAAGTGCACTTGTATTCAAAGTCAGAGCAATAATTTTTAGCCATAATGTCCAAATACAGATGGTAGCAGAGTCATGACCAAAATATCCAGCTAAGGTCAGGAATCTGGATGTTTCACAGGGTCTAGTTTTTAAGAGTGAAATATTTCAGATTTAAACACTTAAAACGACCCCGGACACACATTTCTGATCAGCCACTTGGTTTTTTTTTTTAAAAAGATGTTTTGACTAAAAAAGGATTCAAATGTTTGAAGATTTGTCCAGTAAAACTTGAAAAAAGACCAAAATGGTTACAGCATAAACAAGCAAAAACATGTTTATTCCAACCATATCTAAGCCAGTCTGTTAAATTACTCATATACTGCTTTAAGATTTCAGCAAAGATGTGTGAGTTTCAGGTTTAACTGACACACACTCGCTTCTAGACAAAACAGCACATCTGTAGTTGATACCTGGCCCTGACATGTTGGCACTGATCCATGCCAAGCCATCCAGACATAAAGTGCAGTTAACCCAGAAACAGCCCATGGAGAAGGAGGTGAAATTACCTGGCTGTGCATGCGTCAGTGTGATGTTATGAAGCCAAACACAACAACGTCTGGTTTTCTGCCAAATGTTGGAAACAAATATTCAGTGAACGCAGCTTCAGGGCATGAGCTCACAAAAGTGAACCTGTTGAAAAAAAATTTCCACTTTCAAACTCTTCCATCCACTCAAACAGATTCCTTCTTGCACATTTTTTATCTGTTGTATTTGTTCAAATTTGTAAATAATGCTATTTAAGGAACTAGATTACAGAGGTGACATTCAAAGTTTGAAAATGTGAAGATGCCCTCATAGTTTTCCTATTTTTAAGCCATTTCATTAAGCATATTACTGCATATTTTAGCTCATATCACAGAGCCAGGAGATCAAACCAGGGTAGGATGTCTCCATTGTGAATAGCAGTGAGATTATTCTCAGCATTTAGGAGATCCAGAAGGAGCAAATCATGCTGGCTTTAATGTGAAACTTTCTCTCCAATCACTTGTTCACAGATACACCCGACTACATCAAGTCCTTAGTCTCTGTTGCTCATTTCCTCCATGGTCTGCCTGACATACATATATTTACACACTTCAGTCTCCCATCAATCAGTCACTGTTAGATGAATAGCTGTTGCAGTAGGAGATGAGCACACCTATCTCGCAGTGACCCCAAGGTCACTACTGAGTGAGGCATGGCAAAAAGGATGACCTTTAGTTAAGGACCATTTTTTAAAAGCAGATGTTGTGCATTTCCTGTCTCCATGTGATTGTAAACCCTAGGCCTCTCTCTGACTGTGTACATATTTCCTCTGACTCCACTGTAATCACTGGCCAAATATGGAGTGGACTTAGCCACATTCACTGATACACACAGGAGGTTGTTTTGGCAGGAGTCACAAATACACATAGGTAATGTTTCTGCATAAACTCACCATAAAGTGCGCCCGTATGTCTTTAAGTGACTTTCTTTTCTCCATCCCCCGACACCAGTTTTTTAACACCCCGAAAAAAAAAAATCACTTCTCACCTAATTAATCTAACCCCATTCCCACGCCCTCCCCCCTTTTTTCTCCTCCCTTGCCTTTCAGCACGGCCAAGTTTTGTGATCCAGCCCCAGAACACTGAGGTGCTAGTGGGAGAGAGTGTGACCCTTGAATGCAGCGCCACCGGCCAACCTCAGCCCCGGGTCTCCTGGACAAAAGGTGATCGGACCCCCCTGCCAACCGACGCCCGCATCAACATCACCCCCTCTGGAGGGCTTTACATCCAGAATGTGGTCCAGGCTGACGGAGGACAGTACACCTGCTTCGCCTCCAATAATGTTGATACCATACACGCCACAGCTTTTATCATTGTACAAGGTGGGGATTCAGTTTCTCTCTGTGTTTAGAAATCTGATTTATTGATCGATATCATGACCAAACACTGATAGAACATTATTGATCACTTCATTACAGGCCCTCTTAAGTTTTGGCAGAGATGTATTAGATAAAATAAAACAGAGATTCACTGTTAACCAGCTGTGCACATCCCCAAACTCTTGTGAACTTATGACCCTGTAAGACCTTTTGAACTTGCTCAAAATCATGTATTAACATCGGATCCTGACTGATCTTAAAATTTTGCCATCTGCTATGAGATGTGTGTTTGTAGGTGGTCTTTGTTCCTCCTAGTCTGATCTGTTTATTCTGCTGACAGGATATTCTGACAATTACATGCACTGCAGGGAACCAGGAGAAGGAGATAGAGAGGGTTGTTTGAGTGTCATTTTGTCTTTGAAATATTTACAAACATTGAATTCTCCTGCTGTCTGGGCCTTAGTTACAATATGTTGAGATACATTTAGACAGCTGAGGGTCATATAATCACAGGTTGGTAATTCTACTATTTTTATCTGAGATGACAGGACCTCCGACCTCAAATAAACTCTCCCAATACTGACCACATTCACCTCTTTGTAAGAACTGAATGAATTTACTTTGGCAGCACATGGTCCAGACCCTCCTAAAACAGCTTTCAGATGTCCAACATATCAGATTATTGCCGTGTCTCATGAGATATAATGACCCATAGAAGTTAATTCCCTCTAGCTGACTTTACTTCTCTGACCTGTTGGATATATTCAGGACTTTCTATGTGACCTCACTCTGCCATTGCCTGTGAAGCCTCCTTGAAGGCAAGATTTCAATCTCATTCCTCAAACGCTGTTTCCTCCTCTGCCCCCAGCTATCCCCCAGCTCACAGTCACACCCCAGGACCAATCAGTCCTGGAGGGTCACACAGTGGATTTTCCCTGTGAGGCAAATGGTTACCCCCAGCCTGTGATTGCCTGGACACGTGGGGGCAGCCCTTTGCCTCTAGACCGCCGCCACGTGGTGCTGTCTACTGGCACTCTCCGTATCACCAGGGTGGCAGCCCATGATGAAGGCCAGTATGAGTGTCAGGCAGTCAGTCCTGTGGGAACTGTTCGTGCTGCTGTGCAGCTCAGCATCCAGCAGAGAGGTGAGAACACAGAGTGGACATGGAAATGATCAGACTTTAGCACTTAATATGAAAAGATGTCTATTTTATTGCCACAGAAAGACTGTTAAAGGATTAGTCTGCAATTTCCTGAACATGGACTCAGTCTTTCTTATGACACAGTGTCTAAATAGATTCCTTCAGCCAGCAACTGCAAGACAAGGCAACCATTCAAAGAGCTCACACTTTCAGTGTTTTTATCTGAGTCATATTGTTATGCAAAGAGCAAAATGTTCCACTCGGGATCTCTGGGAAAACAGTTTTTGAGCTAACTATGAGACCATCTTTGACTAGACACATGTGTCCAATTTTAAAAACAGTAATTGTACGTCATAGACTAGTCCAGCTAACCTGATTGATTTCTTTATGTTTGTTATTACATTGTAAAAAAGCACTTTTAATAACAGCTACTGCTCTGAGGAATGGGCAAGGTTTCATCATAGCTAACCCAGCCTGTTTAAAGACGATCAGCTGAGACGATCTACTGGAGGATTTCTGTGGATATAAGCAGATTTATAAGATTTGGAAATGAATGGCTAGAGTTTGAAAGTTGATGTTACTGCAGTACTGGTCTGATATATGAAAGCTGATCTGTTCTGTGAGACAGGCAGCTGAGAAATGTGGCTGAAACACTCATTCACAAACAGGTTGTTAGTGTGGCCACTAAAAGCCTTCCTCAAACACTGCATGATTGTGTAGGAGGAGGAGGAGGAGGAGAAGGAGGAGGAAGAGGTGGGCAAGGTGGTAAAATGTTGAGAGGGTGGGAGTGATGTAGCACTCCTCATTCACAGCTTATTAGTCATTCACACATACAAGACTGGTATTAAGCTGCTGTAATGTATGTGCACACTGAAAGACATCACACTATGTGTGTGTGGGTGCTGGTGGGGGTTACTTGTGTGGTCAGGCTCTTTATTTTCTGTGTTCAAATAAGCAGTGAGAACTTTTCACTTCTCTGTGCTTTAAATGATTCTGCACATGCACATATTTGCTTGTTTTTTTCCTTTAGAAGAAAGCTAAGTTTGACTCAGAGCTTCTGACTTGTGTGCAGATGGTTGTATTTTGCGTGTATGATTGTGTGTGGATGAAATTACAGACTTGGCGAATCATGGGAAAGCACGACAGTCTGTAATCCTGTGATGACACCATGTTTTTCCATGTAGTGATGGTTGTTAACACGGCTCAAAGTACACGTTGCATAATGGCCCCACACTGCTGAGGAGCTATACAAGCCCACATCCATGCATTCCGTGCATGATGATGATAGCAGCTTTATGCAGAGAGCTCAAGAGTAGAGGAAGAGGAGAAGCTTGAGAGGAAAGTGAAAGCCAGGATTAGCTGGATTTACAGCTCACCTCCTTTCAACCAGTATGCCAGTCTCTCTGTGATATATTCATTGTTTTAAAGTTGCTGTGCTCTCGTCTCGGTGGTAGAAATGTGTTGCCTGCAGCTCTGACACTGTGTACTGTACCCTACAATGAACCCTGTGTTTAAGAAAGTTCAGCTTTGATTCAAAGGTTGTTAATTAGTGTCAGGCGTGTATAAAACTGCCTCCCACTCCAGTTTATGTTCTGAAACTTTGGGGATTTTCCCATAGCCAGGTGGCTCACTGGAAACAAAGAAGAATATGAACAATATGTATTTCTCCCCTTTCCTAGCCCAACATCCTTTATTTAAGTCTATGTTTAATTGGAACAGTGCAAACTCAAGAATCAAATGTTGAAACAGAAAAATGATGTTTTTTTCCATGCAAAGTATAGGATATTTTATTTCACTAAATTTCACCCTTAGGTGTTGAAAAAATGTGATCAATTTTTATTTTGTTTTATTGCATTACATTTTCATTTATACACACCCCTTGTCCCCACCATTGTCCTGAGGGTAACATTAAATTTGGGTGATTACAGGGAAGAAAATAAATGAATAAATAAAAAATTAAATCAATAATAATAATGATAAATAAATAAATAAACAGCAAACTGTAAACAGTAAACATAATTATGAGATACATGGATAAAATGAAAAAAAAAAAAAAAAGGGCAAAAGAAAATTTGAATTAAAAAAATAAATAAATAAAGTGTAAAATTTCAAGTAAGATTCCCATAGCAGACCCTCAAAACTTCCCGGTGGGATTTGTTGCAACTCCATCTTAAATGTAGCTTTTTGAGTCCTTGGGTGGCAGATTCAGTCACTGCACTATTTGCCAACACATGAAGCAATCAGGGTTTTTATCCCTTCCAAATCCAAATCATGCAATGCCCTCATCTCCCTTTGGACTCTGCAATACCTCAAAGTGTTTTAATATTTTGCAGACCTGTAGTAACAGCAGTACAATACATCTGCAGAACTGTAAAATGTTGAGATTACTCTATGTCTGCTGTGCTTGATTACAAAAAAACATTTTACATGCATTGTACTCTGAGCACTAGTGCATAATCATTAACACATGCGCATGTGTGTGTATGTTTTAACTCATTCAGTAACGCCTGTTTTCACAAATGCTCCAAGGGACCTATCGGTGGAGTCTGGCCAGGACGTCCAGATTCCCTGCAGCGCTCAGGGCCAGCCACAGCCCGTCCTCACCTGGAACAAGGTTAGATGATAGAGCTGCTGTCGGCTTAGTAAGCTGCTTTTCACCTCCTCATGCAGAGGTCAAAAGGTTAAACAAATGATTATGACAAGGAGGTAGGGACTCTGGCAAATAAATTATGGAGTTAATTTAATCATTTAATGCAACAAAATGTCAGAAATGTCAAGAAGTCACTAATAAGATTAAGCCTATTTCACTCCAAAAACAGGCACGCAGACTAAACAGCTCCATGACCTAGACAAACAGGTCCTGTCTGTATAACACTTAATCCTTTGCCGGTAATTTGATTCCCAACTCTACATGGGAGCTTACAGGGTCATGACCTTTGCCCTCTGTTACACCCCCAACCCTGTCTTCCTTAGGATGGTGTTCAAGTGACAGAGAGCGGAAAATTCCACATCAGCCCTGAGGGTTATCTGGAGGTGAAGGATGTGGGCACGGCTGATGCAGGACGCTACGAGTGCATCGCCCGCAACCCCATCGGCTTCCAGGTGGTTAGCATGGTGCTAACAGTCACAGGTGAGGCTCTCCCCGTGTTGTTTCTTAGTCCCTTGGTTTATCGTCCCATGACAAGATTCAATTTGCTACATGTGTTGTACCTCATTGCATTACAGTTAAAGTTGCAAGCAAAAGCCACTGATATGTTGCAGAATTAAATGCAGGACTTGACAAGAAACAAAATAAAAGTAGACTAATCAATTAAATTTTAACACTCTTACCAGTCAGCACCAGAATTACTTTGCAGTTAAACTAATTACAGATAGTTATAAATATTAGTGGCTACAGGTGCTTTTTGACCAAAAGTACCCAGAACTTTTAGTTCTGAATTGTCAGGCCCTGCAACCCAAAGTCCCTGGTGCTATTGGAAAGAACTACCCCCTGAACAGGGGCCTTTGAAAGGGGGAGATTGTTTTTTTTTTTCTTGAACTGAATCCAGACCATAATGCTAAAATGCTACAGTACTTAGACATAAATGAGCAGATGGAGATAAATTTGTATGAAGGTTGTGCGTATATAAACAGGCAGTGTCACAGTTTTTAAACAGGATCCTGCAAAGAACAGTCACTCTCTTGTGGTTGAGCTAAATGTTTACCAGTCTTCCAAAGCAGACAGTGAAGCAAGACAGTTGCACATGTGCGGAATTCAAAAGGAGTTTAAGTATGAAAATGTGATATAGTTCATACAGTCAGTGTTAAAGGTTGTCACAGCAGAGTAAAACCTGCTTTCCATCCAAGTCAGTCAGTACTTCAGTCACACTCTGCTGCAATGCTATCAGATTCCTGTCAGCTCTTCTCTGTGTGTTGCTGTTTCCTGCTGAGATTTCTCAGGTCAGACCACAGCTCTCAGCTGCTCAATCATAAACTGTATCAAAGTGCTTAGTTATTGTTGGACTTACTCAGCCCTCACGTCACAGTCTCACTGTTTGCAATGGCACACTGAGATGACTAAGTGTGCCAGAAATGTGCTCACTCTGACTTCAGGAGGGAAGCTGAAGTGCAGATCCTTGAAAGGTTAAAAAACGCTGATGAATCGGAGCTTTATCTACTGACCTTCTTTATACCTCTGAGGACTTCAGCCTCATGTGCTCTTCTGTATCTAGTCATTAATATAACAACTCTGTCTCCATGTGTTCCAGTTCCTGCTGTCAGCAGAGAGGGGGACACCTTTGTGAGCACATCCATAGAGCAGGCCATCCGTAATGTGGACAGTGCTATTGAGTCAACAAGGAGACGTCTCTTTGATGGGTGAGATACAAGAAACTCACAGACACGTGCAAACACACAATGATGCTTCCTCACACTCAAGTTAAAACATAAGATGCTCACTTCTCATATGTTTCGTCTGACTCAGAGCAGACAGAACAGTGTAGGAGAGACACATCTGCTGATTAAACAGTGTGCACATATATTTTACTCATAACTAAATTGTGTTCATGTGTCCAAAGTAGTGGAGAACTGAGGATGCAGCACATTGCTGGAGATGCATAGTGATTTTTTTGGCCACAATATGTACAGCTAAAGTCATGGTATGAATATCTATGTTTCCTTTTTGGCCAATCTAAAGATGTGATTCACCCTTTGAAATTTATGACACTTCTAACCCTGTTTGTCACAGCAAGAGCAAATGCTGAAAGTAAAGCTAGTTTACAAGTCCTGCTGTGACATATCTGACCTTCAAAAGATTTTGACGAGAATTAGTTGTACTTTGTGCCTCTACTCATCTGCAGTAGCACAGTTTAGTAAATGTTATGCTCTCAAACACTAGTAGAAAAGGAGATTATAACTCAACAGATGCAAAGATCAGTTTGCATTTGTTCTCATTGTTATAATTTTCTGTTCAGGCTGAGTCCAGAGCTGCTCATGTGGCCAAAGCTTCAGTACAAATCACTTGTCTCCCATTATCTTGGCACATGACTTGAATGTTCCAAGTCTGAGTCAGAGCATACAGGGGAAGAGCGTGTCCATTCAGCTGCTGATATTGCTGCTCTTTCCTGTTGCAATGCACAAGGACTAAAGTTTAAAACATCAGAGCGACATGGAGGAACCGTGTCTCAGGCCAAAAAACAGGCATCTGTTTAGATAATTATTCTGATAAATGTATTTAAGTTCAACTGAAATCAGCATTTTTAGGATTCTGAGCGGATGATTGTTCAAGTCTTTTTTTATCCAGTAAAGTTTTCACTGCACTCTTTGCCCCTGTAAGAGATGTAGGTGGTTACAATACACTTCAAGTGTTCCCATTCTGCTGAATGATGTGGTTAGCAGTTGTGTTTTTCTTGGCATGCACATTCACACAATCTGCCCACACATGCATGCACAAATGCTGTACACACACACACACACACACACAACTGAACTCAGTGTGGTAGCCCAGATGAGATTAGGGGATTTCCAGCTCTCTTTAATGACAATCACAGATTAACAGGAAGCCTCCACCTTGGCTGATGGCATTTACCCGAGTCTTTGAACCTGACCTGAAAATCATGAAAGCAGACTCATATTCTCATATTTGAGAATGAGAGAAAAGGTTGTGGCATGACGGACGTCATCTGTGTGACTAAGAGGTGTCAGACTGTCAGATTAAGTTTTGCTAGGTGATAACAGCTGCTCCGCATTATCACAACAAACCACATCTATGTCACCATCTTTCTCAAATTATCAGACAAACTAAGATAAAGGCAATCATATTTCCCTTCTGGAAAAACCATAGTAATAACAGAGATTAAATCCACCTTTTAACAGTGTGGTCCACTGTAAAGGGAGAGTGTGGTCCCGCACCACAGGACTCAATTCCTGGTAACTGTAGATTAATTTAAGTTTATGAGCAGTGCTAGTCAAGTGATAAAAAGGAGATATGTATTTCATTATGCATCAAATATCATCTCATGTTTATCCTGGAACAGATTCATGAGGAATAATACCTTTGCACCTGAAGTTTAATCCCTGAAATTGAACATCAAGTTAATTTACAATGTCTAACTGAGAAAGGGCCTGTGTCCACTCGCAGCAATCAAGAGCCTAAATTCAGAGCTGCTGCTCTGTAAGATAAACTTACAGGGAAACACACATATCCACCAACAAAGATGCGAATTTTAATCACTGCAGATTTGTAGATTTCCACTGAACATGTACAGCTGATAATGTGGTGTATGTGTTTATTTTCATTTTAAACATTATCCTTAAACCAGTTTGTGGGGGGGGCCTGACAAGTCTATCACTGAGTGCAGCGGATCATTTCCATGAAGTAATAATCATCATAGTAATCATTTTTACTGCAGACACAGTAGTTCTTCTGTCTTAGCGCCTCGGTCTGATTGCATTTCCATGAAGAAATGATCATAAATGATCTTCCTTGAGCTGTGAAACTCTGCTGCACTCGGTGATTGACTCGTCAGGGCTCCCCCACAAACAAGCAGCTGCTGGAAGGGAGAGGGTGAGTTGTGTTTAGTCTCTTTGCTAAAGAAACCAGGCAAAGCTAAAAAGATGTTTGATGGCTAGTACTATGGCTGGGACCCTATATGTCCTGTTGATGAAGTTAGGTGTTGTTCTGAGCATTATTTGTGGCTATAGAGTGGCTTTTTGGTTGAGGTTTGTGCGTGTTGAGACATACACAGCTGTGTATTGCTATCATGCGGTCATTGCTGAAGTTGGTATAACTAGAGAAGCAAGCAGTCAGCAACATCCATCACTCGAGGGGGTCTCTAACTGGGTGTTATGGTGTGTTTGACCATAACTTTAATTTATGCTAGAATATCTCTTTAACCTACAGTAGCATTTTGAGCCTGTTAGAGGCAGAAACAAGTACAATTGTAGAAGCAACGCACTTGGCCTGGAGGATGATGTTACAGCCATCCCAGTCGGTTTCATGAGCACTGGCTGAACTAACCTGTCTGAGGTATTCTTTCTTTGGTTTTGAGTCATTTAAAATCTATAACTGGTTAATAAAAAAGAAAAGTTTTTTTTCTAGGTTTAGAAATAAATAAATTACCACTTAAACATAATTTCTGCTCATTACACATTAAGATACAAAAATGAATGCCTATGTTTCATTAGTAAGCTTGTCTACATGTGTTATTTCCCGAACTAAAACCTCTTGCAAGATGAGATCATATAGTTTTTTTTTTTTTGTTTTTAATATATTTTATCTTGGACGCATGTGGATCTGGGAAGAGGTTTTACAGTTTTCCACACCATTTAATACAGCTCTGGCTGAGCTTTAAGGCCTGAGCTTGTGGAGTTGAATACATATTTTGAAAAGTAGTTTGAAGTGATAGTTGGGCAGTCCAGCTGGTGGACTTGAGCAGAGTGAAGCAGAAATGACACAAAGAGTCATATGGTAAGCTGCTGTGGTAAGCCCCCGATAAGGGAGATCCAGTTCATCAGTGAAATGTCTGAGATGTTTGTACGTGTTTCAGGCTTCTCTTTGTTTGAACTCTGTGACCGAGTAGAGCTGCAACAGGAAAAGTTTTCCGGAAAGTTACAGAGAAAGCTCTGCCTGGTTTTCTTGCCCTGCGGCAAAAAGGAAAACATTCATGCGAAGAATGTTATTTAACGCTTCATTTAAAGGCAGATCTTTTCCTCTGCTTCATTTAAATGTGTTTTTTTCACACCCTGGTTTCCCCAACACATCCTCCACCGCGTATCTACACACTGCATCTCCTCACACAGTGTCCACTCTTTATCGAAATTTATAGAATTCTTTCATTCTCTCTTTTTCTCCCTTATGCCCTCTCTATCCCTCATCCCTTCAGTCAGCCTCGTACCCCTGGAGAGCTGCTGGCTCTTTTCCGGTATCCTCGGGACCCTTACACGGTGGAGCAGGCTCGAGCCGGGGAGATCTTCGAACAGACTCTTCTACTTATCCAGAACCACGTCAACCAGGGCCTCATGGTGGATACTAATGGCACAGGTAAGGCTAAGCTGTGCTCTGCAGAGGTTTCTTCCTTACTGAAAATAACATTAGGCTGTAATCTAAAGAAGAGAAGTAATAATAATAAATAATGCTCAATAATTTGATACCAGGCTAATGTTATATAACACTAAAGTCATTCTTTATCTGTATAGTATCTCTTATGTGGCTAAATTGGAAGTGAGGATGCTCGGAAAAGAGGTGATGTGTATGAAATCACTACAAACCTATAGCAGTGGGCTGTTGGGAAGCACAGATCTTGTTAAATTCATAAATGGTGGGTTTAAATTCGTTTTGCATCAGCAGTAGGAAGGAGGGTGTCATGTTCTCATAGGCTGCCTCTGTCCAAAAGCTCTGCAGCTGAGAAAAGCCAAATGCTGAAGTCTGTGTGAGGGCGTGTGCAGCCTCAGAGGTCCCATGGGAGTCTGCTTACTAGTTTACTGGTGGTGTGAGGTGGAGCTTTTGGCAAACAGAGCTGTTAATTATGATGTATTCAGTGTGCAGGGAATAACCACTGGAAAACTTCACACTTGGAGGAAATGATTAATATGTGTACATACATGTAGAGAAGTCTGATGTCAGAGACAAAATCATGTTTTCTTGCACAGTCAAGTCTCTCCTTGTTCAGTTTACTCAAAGGCTCATTATCACAGATTATGTAGGTCAATTACTTTTCCTCAAGCTTTCTGTACATGTGCCAGTAAGTGAGTACATCAACCAAGCATGCGCTGCTGGCTCAACTTCATAATGACACCATTTATTAAATACCTGAAGACTTGTTGTGAAGGTTCTTAGCTATCCAGGCTGTAGTGATTCAAAGCTTGATCCCAAAGGCAGCTGGACCTGTTTAAAGGTCTTGAAGTTGTTCGCCTGTCTTCTGGAAGTCTTGTACCGTTTTGTACTGAGATCCTCAGATCCTTTTTCTGATAAGCTCTAAAAGGGTAAACATGATTCTGTTTCTTGTGTTGACCTTCTGTTTCCTCAGATTTAATTTTGATCCATGTGTACTGAATAAAATGTTTTATATATATAAAATGCTTGCTCAGAACCTCGTAAAAGCTGTGTTAGCATTAGCAGCCAAATTTGAACCCCAACTTGACCGTGAATTTCTCCTCCAGCCGTTAAGTCATATTTGCACAAGAAGTCAAAATGAGCTGAGAAAGTGACAAGAAATATTTGCGAAAATACACCAAGTAGGCAGAGATGATGGCATTTGTACCATGGGAGATGTGTTTCAGGGGAGGTCCAGAGCTCACTGTACGTTACTTAATGTTATGTGACTTTACTTAAAATTATGTTACATAAAGTTACGTTTGGTTACTTTACGTGAAGTTATTTTACGTTACATTACTTTACGTAAAGTTATGTTATGTTATGTTACATTATGTAACAGTTACCACATTGCGTTGTGTCAAATGATATTATGTACATTACATTGCATAATGTTACGGTACAGTAATGTTACCAGAAAAGTTGTTACATAAACCACATTCCATTTTATTAAATTGTTACAAATTACATTACATTGCATAATGTAACACGGCGTTGTGTTACATTGTGTTACGTTGCATAACATTTCATTATGTTACAGTAATGGTACTTTCAAAAGTAGTTACATTAACCACTTTGCGTTGCATTAAATTACGTTATGTTACATTGCATAATGTTACATCACATTATGTTACTTTATGTTTTGTTACGTTAAGTTACATTATGTTAAGTTACAGTAATAGTGCTAAAAAAGTGGTTTCATTAACCATGTTTCATCGCATTAAATAATGTTATGCTATGTTATGTTACATTTCAATATATATATTTTTTTCTTGATGGGGAAAAAAGCCTTGATCTCAAATGCCTCATATGCAGTATTGATACTTAAAAACAAACGCCAGTACACATGTTAACAGAGATCCACACACCATCAGAAACCAGTCTAACAGTAACAGTGCCCCCTTGTTTTAAAGAGTTATTAATTGCACTGCTTCTGTTGAGTTTAAAAAATCTAAAGATGCTTCAAGATAAGATGATTATTATAAGTCGTATTTAAGATCATGTCTTTGGGCTGCAGTGAAGCATATACAGATTACTTGAATAGCATTTACACTTACTTTGTATGTACATTTGGTTGCCTTGGTTATATTAGTTTTGATGAGCTGGCTCTTCTACACTTCAGGATCAGCAGGTCCAGCCAGTGGGTGGGTGGAAATGTCCTTTTCTTGAGGAATATTCGCACATATAAGTTTTCATCAAAGTCTCACTCTGGAGTCAGTAAGAAGTTTCCTATGCAGAGTCTCATTAAGTCAGCCTCCATTACCACAGTATAAGATTTGGCTTTAAAAGCCCCTCCATCTGCATGCCATTTTCTCTTAAGCATGACCCGAGGCGTGGAGACGTAATCATGGAGCAGTTGACGAGGAGGGCTGTAAACAGTTTTATTAGCTCTGTGTCACACCACACAGTGCTTTACATATAGTCATTGTGGAGCTCAGGACAAATTTAAAGACTGTGCTGGTTTACAGATTGTCTCAATTATGTATGCGTGTAGGGAGCGTGTGCTGTCTGAATGTTTAGATGCAGAGGGATCTGTCCTCATTTGCATTCCCATACGCATTGAAAGATGTTCAGTGGACCAAAGGAGAAAACTGGAGCGATGTGAACTTGGCTTTTTTGTGCAGGAAAGTTCCCGGTCTAATAGAACACACAAAGGTGAAATTGGCAGGTTGTGAACAGAGTCTGTCTCACATAGGGTGCCCTGGAAAAAAATGCCAGAATCAAAGGGGAAGAGCAGATTTATGGAGAAATAAGAGAGGAGTAATAATGTATTCCATCCAGGTGAAAGTTAGGGTTGAGGGGGGACAAATGGAGCTCTGTAAAACAAGAACAAAGACAGAGAGAGAAAGAGAGAGAGAGAGGGAGACAGTGTTTTCATTACTTATGACAACAACCAAGTGTTCATTGTTGCACTGGCCCCAAACCAAGCAAACACAGAGATTTCTGCCTGTCAGCAGAAACCATTTTTTATTGTAATTCTGTTTCATCTGGGAGTACAACACCACAGTTTCCCTTTTCTCCCACATACAAACCCACAGAGGAAACACCATGAATGTGAGTAGTGTGGGAGACTGTGGGAAGCTGCCAACAGGTGATGCCTTTTAGACCGGAAGCCTCAGCTAACACTCACTGAGGTTGACCGCACGCTCTTACCACTTGTTCCAATGCATGACCATGACACCACATTGCTAACACATCACAGACACACACACACAGACACACTGATATGCTGCCTTTTTGAGCTTTAACTCAAGAGCTCCAACATATCAGAGCAAGTCAGGGCACGTGAGTGAAACAGTGCAGACTGTGCCCTCAGGAGAGGCAGTTCTCTCTTTCCACTTTCTGAACCAGCAGCAGCGGCCAATGTGTTACAATGTGATTGACATAAGCTTCACTGGAAAACAGTGAGCTCATCTTCACTTTTACCTTCAGTAGCAGTAAATTAACGACAACTGTGATCTATTTTTTGGACAAATGTTTTCTAGATTTTCAGATTTGACTTCACATGCAATCCAGTTTTAAAATCTTGGCTGTATAAAAAGCTCAGCAATAACACCAAGAAGAGATCTCTGTGTTAAAGGAACCTGCATGTGTGTGGATCAATGAGAAAGAAATGTACCTGAAACTACGAAACATTGTTGATTGTTTTGTTTGGTCAGGATGCAGCATGCTGGGTTTACTGGTGGTTTGTTGGCTAGAGAAATAAGGCTGCCGGAATATCAATATCATTATAGACACAAATGTCATGCAATTGGCACGTTTGTTTTCCGGTACCCAACATGTTTTTTCCGACATGATATAAAAGTCCAATGTTTTAGTTGGTCTTCAAATATTGGCATCTTAAAGTTTGTTGTGCATAGTGCACACTAACATTGCAGTTTTCATACAGTGGGTAAAGTTTGAATATTCAGAATTAAGATGCTGGATTGAAATGCTGTTTTTATAGGCCTGTGAAACAATTTTAAAATTGCATATAATTTTAGACATTTAATAGTTGATTGTGGTGGATTGCATTTTTGATTCCATGTTTGGAATCAAAAATGTTTAGATTCCATTATTTTTCCATTCAGAACTGGTTTTAGGTCCATACAGACCCTGTAAAGCTTTTTGTGACAGTGTCTTGGATTAGGAATTAATGTATGCAATTAAATGAGCTCTATGATTTTGACTTTTAGATTTATTATTCAAACAAATGCTGCAGTGCTATGCCAGTGTGGTTCAAAATCATGACTTAGAGGTAGGAGACAGCTTCATAGTGCTCTTTCTGTTGAATACAGATTTTAAAGGCTGGAGTGGACGTACGAAGCGTGCACCATGCTTCATGAACAGGTCCATGTTCATTCACCCTCAAAAGACCTGCTCTGTCTGCATTTTTGATTTTTGTAACATTTTATAGTATTTAATTGTTTACAAAACAGCCTTTTGTTTGCCACAGACACTCTCAGTCATATCACTGATCAAAAAAAAAAATTGATCAAAAACTCAGCGTGGGTGTTCATCTAAAAAATGGCTAATTATGAGGACTCTGGAGTATGGTTCTGAACACAGGGTCTGAGGAAGGGACTGGAGGTCACAGGGTTTTTGAAGGGTTTATAACTTACTTAACCTTTTGATTTCTGTTTTTTCCCTTTAGCATTTCGCTACAATGACCTGGTGTCCCCCCGCTTTCTGGAAATGATCGCTAACTTGTCCGGCTGCACGGCCCATCGCCGTTTCAACAACTGCTCTGACATCTGCTTCCACCAGAAGTACCGGAGTCACGATGGGACCTGTAACAACCTGCAACACCCCATGTGGGGTGCTTCACTTACCGCCTTCGAACGACTCCTGAAGTCTGTTTATGATAACGGCTTCAACCTGCCAAGAGGAGCTACTGACCGGCTGCACAATGGATACAGGCTTCCTCTGCCCCGGCTGGTGTCCACCACCATGATCGGCACAGAGACCATCACTCCTGATGACCGCTACACTCACATGCTGATGCAGTGGGGTCAGTTTTTAGACCATGACTTGGACTCCACAGTGGCAGCCCTTAGCCAGTCACGTTTCTCTGACGGTCAGCTGTGTACCCAGGTCTGCACCAATGACCCTCCATGTTTCCCCATCCAGTTCCCACCCAATGACCCCCGGCAGCTGCGAAGTGGTGCGCGCTGCATGTTCTTTGTACGATCCAGTCCTGTGTGCGGCAGCGGGATGACCTCTCTGCTCATGAACAGTGTGTATCCAAGAGAGCAGATCAACCAGCTCACCTCTTACATCGATGCTTCCAATGTTTACGGCAGCTCTCGGCATGAGTCTGAGGAAATCCGTGACTTAGCCAGTCAAAGAGGTCTGCTACGGCAGGGCATCATCCAGCGAACAGGGAAGCCTCTTCTGCCGTTTGCTACTGGGCCACCAACTGAGTGCATGAGAGATGAAAATGAGAGTCCTATCCCATGTTTCTTAGCTGGAGATCACCGTGCCAACGAGCAGCTCGGCTTGACCGCCATGCACACAGTGTGGTTCAGGGAACACAACCGCATCGCTACAGAGCTGCTGAGACTGAACCCACATTGGGACGGAGACACCATCTACCACGAGGCCAGGAAGATAGTGGGCGCTCAGATGCAGCACATCACCTACAGTCACTGGCTGCCAAAAGTAAGAGCCTTCACTTGGAGTAATATTCCTGTCAATTTATCAAAATTAAAAGTTAAATGAACCGGGTTTATAATGGTGATTACCATAGTGGCTAGCAAGATTACAACTTCTCTCATTAAGTTTTCTTTTTTCACTTCTCCCACTATGTCAAGAATCAAAGATATCCAAACAAAAAAAGTCAAGCTTAAAAATCCTCCTGCATCTCCTCAGCCACATTTTTTAATTCAAAGTCAAACAGTAATTTTATATCAACTGCACTAACATACATTTGGTATTTCAGTTTTTTACCCTCAATTTGAAAATCAAATCGGTGGTTCAACTTTGGTTCTGTGTGAGCAAGCTCCTCTGTAAGACTTGACATGATTATATCATGATTAACTTGAGCATCAGCTGACAAATTGACCGAACATTAAAGGTGCATCTCAAATCCTGAGTATTGTCATATTAACTGTAGAAACTAATTTGATTAGTGTGCAAATTAATATATTTGCTGGCTTAATTGTTATTGTAAAACCCATTGGATCTTTAAAAACATCCTTTCTTTGTCCTTGAATTTTTGACTGGCGGATTTGTGATGATGACTCCTTTTTTAGGTTTATGTCAGTTATCTCGTAATCTTACCCCCCTATTGTCATTTATATTATTAAAACAAGAGTCAATGGCATAGTAGTTTTGCACCACTGCTATGACACATTTCTTGATACTCCTTTTTCAAAACTGTATTTTCTAATTACATTCACAAGACCTCTGATTCTTTTGGCAAAACCAATTAGTCTCATTGAAACAGCCATTAAGAAACAAACAGTTTTAACATTGCAGACAAATCAAAAACACCACTCAGCAGGCTTTAAACACTATCACAAAACAGAAAGGAGTCTCTTCATGACCAATGGTAATTAGGGAAAGTTCATAATAAGAAAATACAGTCACTAAAACGCTGTTAAATTTCCCCAAAAGACAAAAATGTTTGCACGAGAAGTCAACAATCAAAACTAGGAAAAACTCCTGCACACTGTTGTCTGTACTTGTTATTTGCTGTACTGCTACACAAAACAAGTTTTGTGTCCACTTCTAGTGGCTCAGCAGTCTACTCTTTGTCTTTTGGCATCAGATTACAGACACATGGTGCGCTTCAAAAGTGCAAAAGTTTCGCTCTGTTCTTGTTCTTGCTTTTCCTAGTTTTTCTCCTCCTCTTAGCAACCTGCCACCTTTCAAACTTTTTACTCTGCCTCCAATACTTCTGTGTCCATTTGATATCTACTCATCGCTCACTGTGCACCAATATTTGATGAAGTATTTGAGACCTTGTTTTGAGTTTTGCCAAATAAGCAAACAAAGGTCGGAGGATGGGATTTAGTGATTTTGCAGTGTGAAAAACTGTAATGGAGAACCTTTAATAGTAGTCACAGTGACAGTAAAAAGATGTACTCCAGTTACATTCCTCTCTCCTCCTCCAGATTCTGGGTGAAGCTGGCATAAAGATGATGGGAACATACACAGGTTACGACCCCAATATCAACAGCGGCATCCTCAGTGCTTTTGCAACAGCTGCTTTCCGCTTTGGACACACCCTCATCAACCCAATTCTGTACAGGCTAGATGAGGACTTCCAGCCTATCCCACAGGGTCACATCTCTCTCCATCGAGCCTTCTTCTCCCCCTTCCGCATTGTTAACGAGGGCGGCATCGACCCACTGCTCCGTGGACTCTTTGGTGTCGCTGGTAAAATGCGTGTTTCCACACAGCTGCTAAACACTGAGCTGACCGAGCGGCTGTTTTCTATGGCCCATGCTGTGGCTTTGGATTTGGCTGCCATGAATATCCAGAGGGGAAGGGATCATGGGATACCACCATACAATGATTACAGGACCTTCTGTAACCTATCCTCAGCTCAGACGTTTGATGACCTGAGGAATGAAATTAAGAATCCAGATGTCAGAGAGAAACTGCAGAGGTAGTTACACACAGAAGATGATGATTCTTATTTTGATTTCCAAAACCTAGCTTTAGAAATGTTCACAAGAAATCGAAACTCTTTAAAGAAAGCGGGTCTTAAATTTCAAACAAGTTAAAAAAGTTAATCTTGCACCATGTTTGGTAGGTGAAGAGTCCCTGACCCTTTTTCTGTGCTCTAGGCTGTATGGAAGTCCTCTGAACGTCGACCTGTTCCCTGCACTGATGGCTGAAGACCTGGTCCCCGGCAGCAGACTTGGGCCGACCCTCATGTGTTTGCTGGCAGCTCAGTTTAGACGCCTAAGAGACGGAGACAGGTGCAGAAAAATCCCAGTACACCTGAACTTACCATTGCACAAACACAATGACAGAGACAGAAAATCATCATTTTTTTATCACTTTAATAAAGAATGTCTTTTTCCATGAAAGTGTTGTACACGCCCACATTATGATGGTAGGACTGAAATAATGGGACATCCCTAAATATATGAACTTGATTAAATCTTTCTTTAACCTGGAAAGAACTTAAGAATGAACATCTTTAATTTATTAAGTTCATTTAACTTTATGGTATTTGGAAATAAGAGCATAAGTGCTTCATCTAGATATCTGATCATATTAAATCAAATTTAAATGTTGCACTTAAACATTCAAGTGTCTTTTTTCAGGTTCTGGTATGAAAACCCTGGTGTGTTCACTCCGGCCCAGTTGACCCAGTTAAAGCAGGCCTCTCTGACACGGGTTCTGTGCGACAATGGGGACAACATCACACGCATCCAAGGCGACGTCTTCTCTGTGGCCGAGCTGCCTCACGGTTATGGCAGCTGTGACGACATCCCTCAGATCGACCTGCGAATGTGGCAGGACTGCTGTGAAGGTAAAGGCAGCTGCATTGAAGGGGTTGACAGTCCATGTGTGTCACTTTTTACCCTTTTAGACATCAGTGCAAAATAATGTTTGTGTCCAAAACTATCCCCTCTTACAGCCACATCATAAGACTTTTAAGAATCAGGTCATGCACAGGGTACTGTAGTTGAGGCAAACCTTCAGTTATGCAAGATTTCTTTTTGTAGCATGCTTAGAATTGTCTCGTCAGATGCTTATCCCCTTACAAACATTGCTAATCTTTTAAAGACACTCATTACTAGTGAGAACTCTTAGCAGTGGCTTTTGACAGCACAGAAAGTTGTAGTAATGTCTTCTCAGGGCTCGACAGTGCGACTGTTTCACTTGCATTTGTGACCAAAATTAGCTGTGTTTGAATTGTGTGAAAAAATCAGCCAAGGCAGCAAATGTTTTCTCATGTAAATACCATAAAGTTTTAGGTTGGATATTCGACGGACATTCACTGCGAAACTACTCATGTCTTCTCACTCTCCATAACCGGGAATAGCAACAGCAGCGCGGTTAGATCTACTCGGCACCCTCGCTATCAACGTCAGGTGTTGAATAAATTACCAGTTGATGTTCTCAGAAAAGGCTGTTTTCCTTCAATAGCTTTCATGTCACGTGAGCAATTGACCTAAAATTGATTTCAAATAATAGTACTTTTGTCGACCAATAAGACACACATTACTTGATCAATATTCATTGTGCCCCTTAAGTTCTTTGTGTGCTCCTTGTGTTTTCAACTTAGGAGCATATGTAACTAAAAAAAGTTAGTGTCAAGCCCTGCTTTTTCACTGGTTCAGTATCTGGGCTGCACAGTGAAATAAGAGCCACACACTGTCTGCATGCTTTGTTCCCTTTGATGACACCTCCCTCGAGGGCAGTCTGGCTTCACCTTAATCTCCTCAATTTGGATCATCCCTTCTTAGAAAAGAATAAGGTTTTTCTGTGACTGCAGTTTACTTAACAACACTCCTGTTTGCATGTTTCACCTCAAATAGATGTCACTCAGCATTATCTGGTTTGACCACCTGTAGAATTTGGAGGAAGATTTGAAGATCAAGATTTGTTGTAGGCTGCAGCAGTTCATGAAAAAATCAGGTTTAACTCTGGAAACGCAGCAATGAGATTCATTGTTGAGTGGAATGTCAGGGACATATGTGCACTATAAAATGTCTCTCTGCTGTTACTTTGCCGGATAGATACCCCAGTAAAACAGCGGACCTCCTCTTCCCCTCCCCTCATAACATCAGAGTCTGTATTTTTGATGGCTCGGTGTTACAGCTCCAGGTTCAGCTGACAAAGCAAAAAGTAGATGAATGAAGAGGCATCCCTGACTGTACAAATACAGTAAAACACTGGGGTGAAGGTGATTGTTTTGTGGCATTCCTCATGATATAATAAGCAGATGTCTTTAATTTTGATAAATAATCAGAGAAATCCAGTCACTGAAAGTTTAATGATAACTTTGATTGATGAATAACTTGATAAAGGACTCTTACAATCAGCCGACAATCTTTATTTACTTCTTTATTCACTGAGAAAAGAAAACAGGCGGTTAGAAGTGAATATAAAGCACTCAGAGTACATGACTGTGTCTGCATTAAAGTTCCTGAACTCTGATTGGTACATAATCTGAGGATCTAATAATAATTACAACTTTTATTTGTGTAGCACCTATAAAACAGGGATTTACAAAGACAACTCGTACCAATAAACCAGAACAAAAGAACGGAGCAGGAAGACAAAACTCCAACAGCAAAAAAGAAAGCCATGAAAATGTCACTCAAGCCACACCAGAACACAGCAGACATATTAAGAAACTAAGAGCAAAACAAATGAGGCTAAAAACAGAGAATAATCTAAATAAACCCTTAATGAACTCAGGTAAATGACTGAAGGGACTAAGAGGTGGAAAAAAGTTTAAAACGATAATAAATGAAATCTGATGGCTTTCAAACTGTCTGTTCTATATCCCTGAAGGGATCATTCCTTTATTTTTCTCTGACACTTTAAAAACAATTTAAGGCATGGAAGCCTCTTTATTTGGCAAGGATTAAACACATGCATGTAAGCATGTTAATCTACCAACCTATACCCTGAAATATTACTGCACAATAACCTTTAAGTGAGGGACAGTTTGTATTTTCTACTTTCTTGATAATAACATCCAACATGTTTTCATTGCATACCTGCATTTGAATTAATAATCTGTTGAATTCAAAGTCCATTAAACTGACTACATGATTTTGTACCAGTTCCACCAGGAACATGTCTAAAGCTGTTCTTTTTTTTAGCTGATTATGAAATTAATACTTACATCTCTTTTGACCACCAGCTATAAGACAGAGTTTCACTTGGATGAGGGCTTTAAATCTTACTCTCATATTAAATGAAGACGGGATAAAGGGATTTAACTGCACACATACAAACTCCTCTGAGAAACGTTCAATTTGTGCCAGTGTTGGCGCCCCTTTGTGGACAAAGTTGCACACTTATCTCCTTGTTGATCCTGGTTTGTAGATGTTAAAGCAGTTTTTTCTGATAAAATCCTACCCTGGCATACAAACATATTAATCACTGTGAATCTTTGTGGTTAAAACAAAAAAAAAAATCAATTAAGTCTGTTTTTGGAGTTGTATTCATCCACTCAGCCTGGCACCCACTTTCCCCTCTGAGGGCTCAGTAGCAGTTTAAGGCAGTAAAAAGTAAAATAAAAAATACAATCTTGATACTGATGGTCTTTATTTTTGAGGGTCATGATGAGTTATCTTTATCAGTTTCAATCTGTTATAGGACCAGCAAAGAAGTCCTCAGAGGAACTTTAACCACCGAGCAGCCTTTTTTTTTTCACTTTTTAAATAAGTGGTGCCTGTGACTGTTAAAGAAAAACTGGTTTTTGTTTGAAACACATCCTGTGTATGTACAGGATACAATCATCAGAGAGATAAGACGCCCTGCTTTGTGTACAGGAGGCACCAAAATCAACACAAACCTGAAGGTGCTCACCAGAAAGGAGCTCTGAATAAAGATGACATGAAAGAAAAGTGATGAGTGTCTGAAAGAAATGATGGAAGTATTCACAGTAAACAAACAACCTTTATGCGGAGGAAACAATGTAGACAGTGTCACTGCAGAGTATTAAGGTCTCTTCTTTGATAGTTTGACATCATGACATCAAAAGGAAAATACACCCATTCAATAATCTGTTTTGTGTTTGTCTCTAAATGACCGGACACACATTTCCACTCTTTGTTGTCATAGTTATTCTGTCCACTGCCTCTGTTACAGTTATGTACGTCAGTGTTTGGAGCCTGCGCTCTATCAGCATGAGACAGGAAGTTGTGTTGCATTTAGATAGACTTCGTTTTTTACAGACTGTCTCTGATGCTGAGCGGCTGGCTTTAAACTTTAACAAATAACAGTGAAACTGACTGACAAGGCAACTGATCTTGCTCATCTGTCCTCCTTTCTCTGCTTTATTGTGGACTGGCTTTTTACTGGCTCTCAGCAGGCCTCAGGTGTACTGTGAGCCACGATTGGTGCTCTGTGTTTGTGTCTCTGGCTCTCTTTGATGTGGGCACAGTGATGGCAGGGTGATGCAAAGGAATATGAGAGGCCTCACTCTTAAATCTGCAGAAAGAAAGTGGAATCAGCAGTCACAGTTTCCTGTTTAAAAAAAAACTGTGGTTTACAAAGTGCTTTGACAAATAGTCAGAAAGCACAGACCATCAGCACATTGAAATAAAAACAAATGAAAACAAAAGCTAAAGTTAAAACAAGGCCTCAGAATTGAAGGCCATTTCATATGTCATAAGGAACCCAGACAATACAAGAACCTTACAACATAAAATGAGACCATGAGGACCAAAATAAAAAACATAAAATAGGTAAGAAAAAGAAAATGTAATAAAAAAAGGGTGTTGAAAGCAGAAAATACGATAGATAATATAAAAAGATGATATTAACATTGATAATAAAATAATCACAAAATATTAATGATGATATTAATAGTAATGATAAAATAGAGCAACAGAAATGAGCAAAAGAAATAAAACAATATAAGGCCTAACTGGTTAAATAAGAAAAATTATAAGTATAACAAAGGCTAAAAAGACAGTAAAGCCGAAGTAAGATCGAGGTAAAAGAGATGAGATAAAAGAGAAAAGACGGTATCACATAAAAGCAAGTCTGTAAAGGTGAGTTTTTTAATTTGACTTAGAAGAAGTAACTGTCTCTGCACACCTTATCTCCTCTGACAGGTCATCCCAAAGTCGAGGAGTTCTGATGGAAAAAGATCTATCACCTTTAGTTTTGAGTCTCGACTTTGGGATGACCAGGAGGCTTTCGCCAGAGGATCTGAGGCTGCGAGTTGGCTCATAAGGTATTAAAAGTGCTGAAATGTACCTTGGAGCAAGTCCCTTAAGAGCTTTAAAAGTCATCAATAAAATCTTAAAATCAATTCTAAAACTGGCAGGAAGCAAGTGAAGGGAGGCTAAAATTGGAGTGATGTGATGCCGTCTACTAAAACCAGTTAAAAGCCGAGCTGCTGCATTCTGAACTATTTGGAGGCGGGAGAGTGATTTCTTATTGAAACCAGGGAGGAGAGATTTACAGTGGTCCAGCCTTGAGAAAATGAAAGCGTGTATTATTTTTTGTTTTTGTCGTTTAACTTTTGTTACTGAGCAATAGAGTTGTGTGTTTGAATCCAACAGACTGCAGAACGAAGGGACAATTCAACGCCCTGTCATACCACTTCAGAGGACGCAGATCAGCGGAGCACTCCTACAGAGTGGACAGGCCAGGCAGCGTCCAAGGGGACAGGTACACAGAACTACACAGAAGAGTCAGATGGTGAGAAGATGTGGCTCCTCTGTCACTAAAATCTTTTCTTCTCTTCTCAGTCCTGTGGAGAACGCTGCAGTGAGTCCTGCAAATCTTACTGTGACCTCCAAAAAAACCTCTGAACCCTCAGTCAGCAACTTCCAGGACTTTGTCATCGACATGCAGAAGACCATCACAAGTTTACGAAAGCAGGTGAGTGTTCATATCCACAGCCAAACACCAAGAGATGTGTCAGTGAACATCTCAGTCCTGGTCAACTACCTCTGTTTGGTTTGTCTCAGTGTCATTAAACCATCTTGTGTTTTTAGTGATGTCTCATAATGTGTAGAGATGTCCACTCATGGTCATTGACTCTCAGTTACACTCAACAGAGAATAATATGGAGTAAGATACTAAAAACTGAACATAGAGGGACGGTGAGAACATTCAGTGTGATTTTGCAAACATGTTTTAGATGTAGCGTCTTAAAAAACCTTATTTTGATCTTTTCACTACACTACAATAACCCAAATCTCAACAAGTCTTCTTGTCTTATTTTTAGTAAAATAGTCCAATTTTGGGTCATTTCAATCAAAGTCATCCAACAAGTACGGAAAAATGTCTCATTTCAGGATTTTACTCAAAAAAGAGGGCCTAGTTGATAGTAATAAGTTCAAAGATCCTCTGATAAAAAAAAACAATCTTATTAGGTTATGAAATCAGACTTTTTCTTTGCTTCAAAAGTGATTCTTTTTCTCCCTCTTTTGATTTTGACTTTCTGCAAGGAATTCAGGTCTTACTGTAGGGGCTCTATTTTCGTGTCCGCAGGCGACACGGCGGAGGGTGGCGGACCCTGAGCAGTGGTATTTTCGTCTGGCGGAGCCCGGCGTACAGCTGGTCCAGTAGTATTTTGGTAGACTGGCGGCGTATCGGCATACGTCACAGATGCCTCACTGGCATCTTTCCACAGTGTCAGGCACAATTCAGTGCAATAAATAATCAACAACAACTAATCATTTGAGTCAGCATATACATTTAGATCTATATAGATATATTCTGATCTATATCTGATCTGATGAGTGCATTTAGCAGGCATTTGGACACTCAACCTGACCAAATCAACACAGCTGAAACCACATTAAATTAAATTAAATATCTAGTAAATAAACACACATGATGAAGTGAACAAGATATGTAATTCGTCTCCCTCCTTTTCTTTCTTCCTCTTCCTCTTATTTCTTGCGCAGCTCGACCTGGACATGTCTCCGTGTCCTCTCCCTGTCCTGCTGCAGCTTCTGCTGCGGCGGCTGAACAGATGATTTGTTTTAGTGATCAGATGAGTTATTTTATAGCCGACATACGGATATTATAATATTCAGTTTTGTGAGCCAAATTTATTTTATATGCCAACATCAATGAAAGAAAGAGCCAGGCCACGGAGCGTGATGCATCATTTACGCACAGATGGTTCCGATTTTAATGCCATTATTTGAATTTATGATGTGATCTGTGCACACAACCCACCTTTGTCACGTGAGGTTTGAATATATGCAACTTTATGTGAGTGTCTTTATTTGTGGAAAAGGGTGTTTGTCTTACCAGTGAGTCCAACCTTACACACACCAAATCCATCTGTGCTCATATGAGAGAGTGTGAAGGACGCCCTCTGCAGCGTTTACAGTGACACTTGTTGAGGAGCTGCCTTCTGTCGCCACCGTGTGGCATTGCTGTCTTCAGACATTTCTTTTCTCTCTTTGACTACTTAATGAAAATTGTAATATGCCTCGCTGGTGGCAGATTTAAAGGTGAGGAGAGGAGCTTATGTTATTGGTCAATACAGGTCTCGGCTGTGTTAAACCCACTCCACGCCCTCTCTCCTCCTTCCCTACGACTTACGCCACTGGGAGGAGCTGAGTTAGGGAGGGGGGATACTTACGCCGGGCTGTGCCGCACACCAAAATACCAAGTTGTGCTTGGGAACGCCTTGTTGGCACGGCGGACCTGACTTGCGCCACGCCTGCGCCACATCTCCATTGAGGCACGAAAATAGAGCCCTTGGTGTCTAAAATCTTTAAATAAGACATTTTTCTGAAATTGGTGGGCGAGTTTACATTCACATGAATAGAATATTTTTATCTTTATGCAGCGTTAAAATATTAAAAGACACAAACAATACTCTGATGTGTTGGACCCTCACTTTTTGGCTTTGCTGCTTTCAATCGATCAATTCATTTTTATTTATGTAGCACCAAATTACAACAATGGTTATCCCAAGAGCAGGTCTAGACAACACTCATTGTTTGATGGAAAATAAAGACCCAAACTTAAGATAAGACTGATATAATCCATCTCCAACAAACATGAGTGAAGCACTTTGCAGTATTTAACAAGTCATGGTGGAGAGGAAAAACTTCTCTTTACAGGTCTGCTGCGATTGTTTTTTGTTACTACTTGAAATGTTCTCAGTGGTCTTCAAATTGTGATTATGAAGTTTTTTGCTAAAATCATGTTACGTGTCATTTTCAAGGGCTTTTCTTCTTCAGAGCTCCAGTAGCTCATTAGCAATTTGCCTCTGAGTTGTGGGCTGAGACGGCGCAGCTCTGCACATTTCTCTTCAAGCTAGCTTGCAGCCTAACATTGCTGGTGTACTACAAGTAGCAGGTAACAAAGGAGCTATTTAGCTATCAGACGCTAATGTCTTTAGGGACGTGATGAAAGTTAATATCATAATTAGCTTTCTTATGAGCAATACAATTCGCTCACACACACACTTTTTCACGCACACAGTTGTCCTCTCTATTTCTCCAAGTGTAGCCTGCATAGTGGAGATCCGGAGGTGGAGCTTGGATTTGTGACATAGGAAATCTCACTGTGCCTGAACCTGCCATTTGGGTCTACCAGAGATTCACACTTATTTGAATAGAGAAATACTCAGAAATGCAATTTTGCTCTTATTTTTCTCATGATATGTCCTGTAGCATCAGAAAAATGCCATATGAACATGTGGACAACAAACAAAAACATGACGAGTCTTTAACAGGCAGAAACCTCAAGCAGGACCAGACTCATGTTGGGCAGTTAGCTGCCGCCACTTTCAGACATTCAACATGCACAGTTGTGCAGAGTGCAAAGATGTTTCTTGCTGCTCCAACTGCAAAATGACTGTACAGATTATGTACACATGTCCTGGTCATTCAAATAGAACTGTAAATGTAGGGTTACTGAGCCCCTCTAAAGTAAGCAAACACTCAGGAAACAGTACACTTAGGTTTAAGTTCTTTCAGTTAAACGTGGGATCACAGTCTGCAGGCAAATTATACCAAATGGTTTAACCAAGTCTTGCTCACGCGTTCATGAGCTAAAAGCTAGAAGAGTGGGTTTCTCCTGGCTTTGTCTGAGCAAAAATCAAACCGTTAAAGCAGCTCTCTCTTGTGCATCAAATCAAAAAACAGCCTCATAACTCTTAACATGTTTGGACTGAGAGTTTCCTCTTTATGCCTGCATGCCTGAAATGTCTTCATAGAGAGCCCTGCTATAGGCAAAAACTGCGACAGAGTCCCAGACATGTTTTACATCAACATGTGGGTAGTACACAGCTGAAGGAGTTAGTCTTTAGGAGTCTGAACAGGTTAATGTCGATAGATGTGAGTAGTGTGTGCGTACCTCATGACCGTAATGACAAATTAGCTAATAAAGGACAATGATGTTATTTTTCTGCAGATAAAAAGACTGGAGGCCCGTCTGAGTAAGACCGACTGCACTGACAGTGATGGACACGAGCGAACAGATGGGGATCGATGGAAAAAGGACTCCTGCACCTCGTGTGAATGCAAAGTAGGTTCAAAATTTAGATCAGTCTGCTCTGCAGATAGTTCACACACAGCAGCAGCAGAAGTATATGCACACATGCAACTTGTTCCAGTTCTTTTAACTGATCATATCATGGTGCTTGGATGTGTGTCATTGAGCACAGGCTGCCCATCAGAGCAGTTAATACACCAGCAGTCTCCCCCCTTTAAATGCCCCAGTTTCTCTCTGTCTGACTCTCCTGTCAGAGCTTCACCTCCTGGCATCTCTCTCCTCTTGGCACTGCTGTCTCCTCTCTCTCTGTGTCCATGTGCCAGCAGCTTCTCCTTTCAGTCTTTATCTCTCACTCTGTCAGTGCCGGCTCCTGGCAGAGGAAATCACAGCTCTCTGCCAAACCTCCTGTGCTCATCTTCATCCTCTCTTTCCTCATACTTTTTGTCACCAGTCATTACACCTGAAAACACACCTGCCTGTTCCTCTTTTCATTCTTCCTTTCCTCCAAACTCTCCATCCACTTTCCACCCCTCCATGTGAGAAGAATCATCTGTAGTGATCGCTAAATTAAAGCAGGCAGACGCACAGACAGCAGGATGGTGCGTTTCCCTAAAACAAAGCACTTGATTGTTCACTTCAGCCTCCTCATTAAGTATCTTCGTGGAGTTTATTCGGGGCCAAACTTCTCTGTCTCAGTGCAGACAGTGGCTGGAAAACAACTGAGGAGCTCCTGACCTCACACGCTCAAACAGCTCATTCATGAATTCTCCTTTCTGCTCATGAGGAGATTGAATAACTCTTTTAAACTCCTATGTAGAGATTTAAGCTGACCATCAAACACAACAGACTCATATTGAAACTAAGGCTGTCACAGTGTCTGTATAATGACAATAACTGTCATTTTAGCCAAATAAAAGACTGATTTAACAGCCTGTACTGAGGCTGTTGTCCCCAAGTGGGTGGCACAGGTTCGATTCGTTCCTGCGTGTCTCTCTCCCCTAGTTTCTGCTCTGTCCACTTTCCTGTCCCCTCCAAAAATAAAGATATAATCCCCTAAAAGAAACCTAAAAACTACAAATATCTTCTGAATATTCCAGATTCTGAATCCAGAATCACTTGACCTCCAGTGTTGATGATGCTGATCTGTTCCCCTCTTTTCTCCCCTGCAGGACGCTCAGGTGACGTGCTTTGTGGAGTCCTGTCCACCAGTGGATTGTAAAAGGCCTGTCAAGCTAAAAGGTTCCTGCTGCCCGGTGTGCCTCCCAGACTCTAATGTTAAGCGACAAAAAACAGAATAATATCCCTCAGGAACCCCCGACAAACACACTCTAGTGGCTGATGGTCAAACACCCGCAGACATCAGGAGAGAGAGGATGAGACTCATGAAGGTGTGCTCATCCACAGCCACCAGCAGCCTCCACAGACAGACCGTACAGCCTCAGATTTTCTTTGGTTTATCTTGTATTTTCGATCAGGGGAGGGTGGGGGATTTTAATTTCTGTTTGGATGTTGGCCCCTCCAGGGCCCGCAGTCTGAGGCTCGGTTTAAAGCCGTTTCAGTCACTAAATGGATTTATATCTGAACCAACGGGTCAGACTGACGGGTGAGCGGGCGGACTTTAAACTGGAGGAACAAACCAGTCCCTGCTGGGAGTCTTCTGAGGCTCCTCAAGTCTAACAGCCACCGTGTTTGCTCTCCTGCAACTAACTCTTGGTGACAAAAGGCAGGGCCACACGCCGTCAACAAGCAGGGAAGGGAAGTGTATGGAAAGGCAGCAGCCATCATGTTGTCTCACAAATTTTTCTCAGGTTAGAAATGCCGAAAACTGGTGCTATTTTCCCCTTTTTATTAATGAATATTCACTAAATACAAACCTTCAAAGTATTGTCTTTTTGTATGCAAAGCAACCTATTTACACTCAGTATATGCCTTTTTATTATAAATCACAACTGAGAGGATGTTTCCTTCAAAAATGAAAGACTTTAGGAGTAGAACTACTTCATCTTTTTATCCAAGGTGCTTGATATCTTGTTATGAATATGTATTTTATTTTCCTCCCTTTTTGTATAGATAAATCTTTGGTATGAAGATAATGTGAAGCCCTACAAAAACATTTGTAATGCAAAAGAGATGTCTACTGATTCCCGCTCCTCTCTCCATGGTCTCCTCGTTAGTTTCCTCGTGTTTGTCTCTGCTGGCCTGTCCTGAACTTGAGTGAGGTGGAGCCGTGCAGCAGCGCTCCCCTGTGCAGGACACTCAAACCAGCTCTTGCACTGTTTGTGCTCCTTTCCAAGTTTCATTTTGCTTTCAGAAAGCAGTGAAAGATGAACCTTTTTTTTTTACTACCACTGTAATGTTGTGAACTTTGTCCCAGTATTTTTCTCAGTCTTGTAAAGCCAAATGTATGATTCAGTTACTTCTAAAATGACGTAATAACACGTAACTATCTATGAAACTATGTGTGAATGTTGAAATGAGGTCAGGATTCAGCCTTTGGTACTGCGATCTCTACCACAGCAGTATTCTTCATCTGGCCTGCTCACAGATTTAAGTTTTTATTCATGTTTAGCCTTTATTTGAGAGGATTCACACATCTGAAGGACTGTTACCCTGACTCTTCTTCCTTTTTTTTAGTGTAGAAAGGCTTGCATGCATTCCTTTGTGGAGGATCCACGTTGAGCTCAGTTCCCTCTAGAGGAGTTTGCTCATGTGTGTACAGAGTTTGGATATTTCCAAACAGTTTAGGAACGCTCTCCCTGCTCACGGTAAAGATTTCAGAGCGGCATGACGTCTTTCAGTAGAGCATGTGTGCACATCTCTGACCCTCATTCCCCTGTAATGGAAGCCATATGAGAGGGGAAGCGAGGGTAATGCAGGGGGAGGGGCCGCAGATGAGCGGGACACGATGTCAATCAAAGCCAGGCTCCGCCACCACAGCGCTGTTGTGAGGCAGATTTACTCTGCTGCCTCGTGTGTTACTGTTCATAGACTAATGGCACTCATTAGGCCCCACTGTCTGGCTTTAGTGCAACATGAGTCACATTTATGTTTCCTGTTTTGCTTAGCTCCTAATCACAGCACGGCGTCTGCAGCTGCAGAGCTCCTCTCTATTGTTTTCTTTATGTGGTAACGTCCTGAGTGAGCATCTGTGGCTGCACAAACATCATCAGACTCACCGGAAAGTTCTGTCCAGGTTCCAGATGGATTACAGAGCTGGCAGTCACACTGGTAAACTGGTGTCATATCGCATGTTTCAGTTTGACAGGTCAAAAGTGATTGTGCATCCTACAACACCTGTGTGTACACTTGGTGTTCACGTGCTACAGTGTGTGTGTTTGTGTTGCTGAATTCAGTATTTTGATATATTTTCATAAACTCTTGTGTATGAAAGTGTGTGTGTAAAGGCTTGAGTGTTCTTTGGCAAACATTGTTTGGCCGTCAAAGCACTGTGAGCTCTCTTTGTTAGCAGTCTTCATATCCATATAACGTAGTATTCCTTCATTGTATCTCGTATTCTCTTCTCGTTTGATCCCCACTAAGAGTGTCAATGGAATGCACTGCTCTGCAAGACTGAACATGCTTTACCTACACTGTTCCCTCACCAGTGGTCAATGTGGATATTCAAGTACCTATCATGACATTTGTATTGTACGTTTGCCAAAGAATGGTTTGCACTGTATTGTATGCATCTCGACAGTCATAATAAATAAATAAATCAATAAGCCACATTTGAAATACAGGCTTACAGCAGGTTGGTTTATTCCTCTGCACACACAAGAGAGTATCTGCAAGATAAACATAAGAGAAGGAAAAGTTACAGTTCACAAAGGAAATATGAGTACGAGGTCATTATGTTACAATAAAACAAGTTATTTAAGACTAACAGTTAGGAAAATCATGACTCAAGGTTTTTCTTTAACAAAACGTGACATGGTGAAAGCAGCTTTTTAAAGTCATTCAAAACCCAAACTGCAACTTCAGCACAACCTTAGTCTTTTAAGTTTTTTTCTCAGATTTTATTCTCATTATTATGACTTTGTCCTAATGGCTACAATAATAGCTACAGCTGAGTATTGGAGCAATATCAAGTCAAAAAATTAATTGGAATTAAATGGTGGTGTTACAAGAGCAAAGTTGTAAAGTTTTAGTTATTATTTTGAGCAGCAGTCAGCTGCTCAGATTGTTTTGTTAAACTCAGACACTCCTGTCCTCCTCAGCATCTCCTTTTACATCAGCAGTAACATATATGCTAACTGTTGTTTTTTACCTACCTCATTTTTGCCCTGATAATCCAGTTTACACACAACTTATTATTATTATTATTGGCCTAACTACTCCTATATTCTCAAAACTTTCCTTTCCAGCAATATGACTTGGTTCTAGTAAGATCATTACAAGTATGACCACAGCTGTATTCCCAAAGCATATTTTGTTATAGTTTTATCCTTCTGTTTTTGAAAGTTTTTTTTATTTTAAATTCTGTTATATTTTGTGTGTTTCTGTGTTTATTAGATAGGAGCAGACCGTAGGTTAGGGTTAGGGTTAAGAGTCGTGGCCTTGTTACTCATTTGGACTCTGAATACAGTCACCTCTGGTGCAAGAAAACATGGGGCAGAAGCCAATTTCTTAAATTTGGGACTCTTCTAAAATACTTTTAAGAGAGCAGCCAGTGAAATCACAGATGGTATGTCCACTTAACTCAGTCAGTGCTTTTTTTTTTTTAAATGACTTCTTACTGAAGATACAGCCCATCTTTCGTGACCATTTGAGTGTGAAGAGTAAAACATTTTACTGTGACTTAGTGACAGTCATTTCAAACAAGAATGACCATGAATTAGTCTTCTTCTCATCTGAATGTTTCTCTGCTGTTAGTCACAATAGAAGGTCATTCTAGGTCACTCTTTCGAGGACAGCAATGTACAGGTATTGGCTCGAGAAGACAGATGGTTTGAAAGAGGAGTTAAAGAAGCCATCTTTACCAGGCTGGAGAAACCTTCTCTGAACAGAGGGGGTGGACTCAGGCACAACCTCACTGGCACTTACAATGCAGTTCTCAGCTCTTTCCCCGGGAAGCTCCACAAACATTTACACCTGAGACCACATGACCCAGGTGGCATGAGTCATGTGGTCACATTCAGGTTAACGACCCTCGGAGGGGAACACCCGGAGATGGGTTTCTACGACCCATTCTTTTCAACTCCTCCCAGTCATTGTCTGTCCCCTTCTCCAGTAAGATAAATATCTGCTCCTCACACTAGCAATATTTAGAACTGAAGAAGCTTCTTGGATAAGAGGCGAAATGTCTTCTCAACTCTACACAGTCCAGTTGCCTGATTTTTTTGTCTTCAAGAGTCATAATAGGAGCTTCTCTATCATTTGCAAGTTTATCCAAACAGAGAGCAGCTGTGAAGTCTTTGGGGGAAGATATTTGCCATGTGAGTAATGTTAGCCGCTGCAGAGGCCTGGGAACCTGAACAACATGTCTGCTCCTTCAGACCAACGGTTACATGATCTGTCCATCACACAAACCCAAGCTCTGACTCAGTTATGCAGCTTTGTACAAGCTCCTGTCCTCTCCTTCTCCCCCTCCAGTCCCACCCTCAGTCCTCTGCACTCCTCCCTGCAGACTCAGTGCTGGCAGCTGGGCGGCGAGTGGACCGACTTCTCTGGAAAGAAAAGCGGACCAGGAAATGAGGTTTCCAGTGGCTGCACAGATAAAAGAGCCTTCATCTTGTAGCCAGGCAGGAAAAGACATTATCACACTGACAACAAGGGACCTACCTTACTGAGAGTAATGTACACACACACACACACACACACACACACACAAGCTTCAGCTCAGCTCCTTCATATCTGCAGCAGATTTCCCTTTCACTAACAACTTGGTTTGACTTGAACATCCTCTCTTTACTTTGGAGGGTGATAAGACGGTCTGATTATGTAAGTGAGGAAGTGATGATGTGGGTGTCTGGAGCAAGATGCGAGCAGACAATACAACCCGCACCACAAAAAAAACAAAAAAAACATGCAATAGAGCATCAGTTATGCAGAGCACTGAGGGGTTGATGGGTTTTTCAGGACACAGGCCTGCAGCTGTACAGGCCTGGCTCCCCATCAAGCCTCTCACTTCCCACTCATCACATACTGGAATTTCATTTAGGCAATTGGCTCTCCGCATTGCACCTCTCACTAGCCAAGGTGGGAATTCTTTCCCCTCACTAATGGAATGTCACTCTCATTTCCAAGAGCGAGGCGGATGAAAGAGAGGGAGGCGGCGTCCTGCTGGGGGAAAATAGGTCTTGCATCCCAGGACTCAAAGGACTGCAGCAACGGCTTGTCACCCCCAGCAGGTGGGAAATGTCATGAGATGGCTCCCTGCTAGTGTTTTTGGCTCTGACAGACAAGCACGCTGAGTTTACAGAGCAGGTGTTTGCACAGGCACTTACTGTAAGTGTGAAACCACTTAAGAAGGCAAAGTTTCACCTCCTCAAAATCACGAGGGATGCAGTCCACCGGCACTGAGAGGATATTTTTAAGTCTAATTTCAAGCACTTTTTTGACAGTGACAGGCAGCCTAAAATGTGACATTTGTCCTGAAGGCTGCAGAGGAGGAGGAGAGTGAAACTGGGAACATGAAATCACTGAAATGTGATGTCCTCATATCCTTTGTCCCATGTCTATGTTTTTTTTTTTTTAATATAATAGCCAATAAAATGTTTCCACATATCCGGAAAGAGCTGGAAAACAGCTGAACAGTTTTCAAGTCATGGAAAACACATGCTCAGTAAGAGGAAAATTAGAATATCCTGAAAAATTATATAATCGTTCTTGTATTTTCTACAGCTGAAGACCAAATAAAAGCTTAAAAAAATATGCTGATGTTGCTTTGTGTCTGCTGGGAGTGTTTTAAAGGAAAGTGGGATAAACTCCTCTTTCTGCCTGATGGGCAAAAACTGAAATAATGCAACCTTCGTAGTTGTGCTGAATAGGATTTTGATACATTTTAGGTCCTGAGGTTGATCAGGATAATCGGTCTTCTGAGCAACACTGACGCAAATGTCCAAAAAGAAGCAGAAAAGTATGAAACAAGTGCAGCAGCAGAAATGTTCTGGGAATAAACTGACATATGGCGCAGCTACATGTGCAGAGAGTTTGCTCTCTGAATCATACATAAATGATTCAAGTCCTGAAATGCACAAACATGAAAACACATGCAAAAGAAACACAACACTAATTGAGAAATGACAACAGATGTGCTGCAGGGGGACGCAGAGCCAGACAGCTGCTGATGGGAAAGACTGAGGACGACAAAACAGTGAGTCTATATAGGACCAGAGCCTCACTGACCACTGTGCATGTCTTTACAGTGTCTATGCAGAGTTAAGTTAGTCTCATTTTTGATTTGCACCATGTTTACTGCTCATTTAGTTGTTTTTTTCTTGTCCTTCATTTTCATTGCTGTTTGCAGTGTTTCTGCCGTTGCATTCATTTTAGACTTGCACGTTAATGAAGTTGCATCAGTCGTGAACTTGCAGCACAGTTCTCCCAATAAGACAATTCAGACTGAAGCCATGCTGTTCAAATATGTGCAGACTGTGGTTTGGCAGCGTCCTCTTGAAGTATGGTCTTCCCTGAGTAATGTGTCAGCGGAGCCTTCACAGATGTGTAAGCTAGCCATGCCACTGGGACGTCTGCATGCCCATAATATTAGGAAAGCTGGACTCTTCAAATAGAGCTGCTTTATCCGTCTCTTTTTGAGAATATTGGACACAAGGGCCAAGATTTTTATTGTCTTTTATTGTCTTTATTGAGTTGTTTGCATTAAATCAAAAATGGCCCTTTAGTTTTTTTAGAATAATAGAGTATTTTAGTTTCAGCATTTGATTTGTTGTCTTTGCCTATTTCCAGATAACTGAGCATAGGGTTCAAACAATTCATAGACCATCAAATTTAGTTTTCAATCAACATCTTTCGGAGCGCCCTGACTTTACAGACTAGGGTTGTATATGTGAAGGGCCCTGATGTTGTTCTTGGCTCTCTAATTTCACCTCTAGCTGTAGCTCAGCAGCAGAAAGGTCTTTCCTCCCCTGTATTTAAATATACACAAACTTCTTTCACAGGTCTCATAGCCAAAACAGACTGATTCATGTCAGTGGAGTGTATGTAGGCTAAACAGGTCCACAGATAATGGTTGGTCTGTTCTGTGCAGTCCATCCAACAGCAGCACAGATATGATCACGCTGACTGTGTGTAGACAGTGATGGTGATAGAAAGCTGGGCTTATCTTATGACTGCCTCTCAGAGACACTGACGGGCAGATGGGATGTCTCGGTGTGTGAGTGGCTGACCGGCTGACTGATAGGCTCTCCTTTTGATTGGCCTGCATTCCTCAGAGGACACCAGCGGGGTACAGTCTGACCCAGCATGACCATCTCCCTGCCAGGACCCCTAATCAGCTCTCCTCCTGGCCTGAAATGGGTCAGTTTGTGAGGGGAGCCAATCTGACACGATGAAGGAATGTATTCTTCACACACACACACATGCACACACTGCGCACACGCACGCACACACACACACACCACTGTGTAGAGATGAGCTATCAGTCTGCACACATTCTTATATCTGTCTAAATGGAAGCTTTCTCAGGCTGGACTCATTTACTTTTCCGGATGGAAGGAAAATTTGAGTTTGAGGTATTTGAAGAGTGTTTCACCAAAATCTAAAGAGAAAGTGCATTCTTTGGATTCACGGCTGAGTCCAAACATGTAAACAGAGGTTTGAATCAAGGGAATTTACCCCATATGACACATCTCTGCAGCTGAGAGCCAAATACTGTCAACAAGGCCAACTTTGAGTCATGCAAAAAACAAAAGTCAACTCTTTTTCATCTCACGGCCAGCAGGCTTTAAAATCCCTCAAAACCACAGAAATACGCAGCTAACTGAACAAACGGAAATGTGCTGCTGCATATGGATATAAGCTACAAGATAA